TAAGGATAAGCGTGAGGTGCGGGGCGGATTTGGTCTTGCAAAGATCGGAGAAAAACACGGCCAGACGAAGCGAGCGAAGCGAGCGAGTGGAATCTCATGACTGCTACCCTTTGAGCTGGAGGGCAGGAGAGGGTGGGGTGCCATGAGCTGGAGGTACTATGAGCAGATGAAGAGTGCTCAGGCCAAATGGTCTATTGTTTCACTCTGTGAAACAAAGCAAAAAAGGGTAGAAAAAACGAGAAAAAGTGGCGGCCGCTTCGCGGCCCCTTCTTTAAGTCTATGAATGAAAAGTTAGGAAAAAGGGAGAAATGAGTGGTTCATGCGAAAAAATAGAGTGAAAAAAAGATCACCTTCCGCCCTTTTTTTATTTTTCGAGCAGACGGTTTAAAAAAGTGGCAAAATTCTTCATCAACACATGAATCTTTTTTGCGATGCTTTTTTTTTCAGAACAGCGTTTGAGTGCAGTTGATTCTTTGATCCATAACTGGAAGGGGAATTTTTGTAGAAAATAATGATCAACTACAAAGTTGATCAGCATGACATTTACTACAACTTTCCAGTTAACCACTTCTTTCTAAAAAATGTCCTTCTTGAGATACAGGCTGTTAAAAATAGAAGTGCAAAATCTTGCTGTATCTCGCGAATTGAATGAGATATCAAAAAGTTGTCAACTAAAGAAATATTACTGAAGACGTTTTGCATACTTTTTTAGTTCACAACAGCTGTTCTGAAAAAAAAACCATCGCAAAAAAGATTTGTGTTGATGAAGAATTTCCGCATACATGATAAGGAACTTCAGTTGGCCATTTTAATCTCTTCAAAAATCAACATTTCAAAACAATTTCGTCAAAAAATACAAGAAAAAAGAAAGAAAAAAGAAAAAGCAAAACGAGGGAGTCGAGCCCGTGACCACACTCCCCTCATCACCACCGTTAACTCCTGCGCCACTCGACCACATTTTCGAAGGGTGTTGCGGGCGGTGACAATCGTGACGCATGGCGAGGGTGTGAGGGTGGGTCGCCGCGCCACCAAAATGCGAAATCTATGGTTAAGAAATGTCAAACTTCGGACTGGAATTTCAGCATCTCAGAGGTCTCGTAAGCATCTTTTGAAAACTGGAATATAGGTTTTGAAAGTCGCTTTTTCGAACTGTGTCGTTCGTTTGTGTTGGAGATAACACCCACTTAAAACGTTCCCTTGTAAGCAAAAGTGTAAAAGCTCGGCCCTCGCATATCTACTCGCATGTCTACTTAGATGTCTACTGTCTACACATGTCTACAAACAAAAAAAAAGGAAAAAAATGTTTTTTAATAAATAAAAAAATAATTTTTATAATAAAAAAAGAAAGAAAAAAAGAAAAAAAGCAAAACGAGGGAGTCGAGCCCATGACAACATTCCCCTCATCACCACCGTTAACTCCTGCGCCACTCGACCACATTCTCGTAGGGTGTTGCGGGCGGTGACAATCGTGGCGCATGACGAGGGTGTGAGGGTGGGTCGCCTCGCCACCAAAATGCGAAATCTATGGTTAAGAAATGTCAAACTTCGGACTGGAATTTCAGCATCTAAGAGGTCTCGTAAGCAGCTTTTGAAAACTAGAATACAGGTTTTGAAAGTCGCTTTTTCGAACTGTGTCGTTCGTTTGTGTTGGAGATAACACCCACTTAAAACGTTCCCTTGTAAGCAAAAGTGTAAAAGCTCGGCCTACGGCCTCGCATATGGGGCTACTCGCATGTCTACTTACATGTCTACTGTCTACACATGTCTACACATGTCTACACATGTCTACAAACAAAAAAAAAGGAAAAAAAAATGTTTTTTAATTAAAAAAAAATAATTTTTTAATTAAAAAACTTTGACAATTTTTTTCTCGAAAAAAAATGCATGAATTTTTCTTAAAATTTCTGAATCGGCATAAAAAAAAGGCGTAGATAATTGTGGTGGAGTCGGAAATAGTAAGTTTGTATAAAAAATTTTCAACTTTTCACAAGAAGCGGTACTGTGCGCGTAGACGCACTTTTAAAAATCTGAAACTGAAGCAGAACGTTTTTGTTTTCAGTTACATTTAAGAAAAATTAAAACTCGTATCTCTAGTTAATTTTTCGTGGTTAAAAAAGTATATACGGGTAATGGGGCTATTTAGCGTATGTTTGTTTTCCGTTTTTTTACATCGCTAAATTGGGTTTTTGACGTAAAAAAAAACGGAAAAAAAAACATTTTTTCACAGCCAATATCAATAACCCCATGAAAAATTTAAAAAAAATCTGACCGCAGAAATGTACCATAACGTTGATCAGTATCATCCCCAAATTCCAGGGCTGGGCAATTGGCCGGCACGGGCTTTTCGTTGGCCGGCCCTTGACCTGGACTTTTGAATCACATGTCATATTCCGCACAGGCAAACCGCTACGACGAAATTTGGCCCAAACACGGGCGAAAAGGTGGCGAATTTGGAACAAAAAAAGATATGAGAGGTTGGCCCAAGTTTGGTCCTCGTTTCATCCTCAGCGGGCAAAGAACCCCGCAGGTGCCCCGCTCGCTTGGGATTTCGGAATTCTAGCTGGTTCAAATGAAAGAAAGATACACATTGATGTGTCATAGATACTTTATTAGAAATAAAAGTAATTTTGATGACAGAGCACATTCGAATTGAAAAGCCCCGATAGTATTTTTCCTAGAAAATACCAAAATTACAAAAGTGTCCATTAGTTTCGTCATGTTGACTGATTCTCTCGCCGAATTTCCATAGAATTTCCATCGGATGCCGTGAAGTTTTCATAGATAGATCTTCTTCTCTCTAACTCTTGTAGCTTGTAAAAATTCGAGCCGATATTTGAGCAGAATGATGAAATTGCTGAAAAATGGAAATGTTCGGAGTGATTGAATAGAAAAATTGCTTACCAAGTCCCGTGAAAAAGTGCTCGTTCGATTTTGTTTGAAAAACTGAAGCTCCGAAAATAAGAAAAAGGAAAAGAATGCCGACTTTTTAGACTTATGGGGCTATTCAGCGTATGTTTGTTTTCCGTTTATTTCCTTTTTTTTACAAGTTGGATTTTTTGACGTAAAAAAAACAAAAAAAAAGGGACGATTCAGTAGTGTTTGATTCATCGCTGACATGCTTTAAAATTGTGAACAAAGATTCTCCATTTTTAATTGTTTAAAATGTGTGTGCACGGTGTTTTCGACACTACGAATATTGCTATGTCGAAGTCGATTAACTGCATGCAGAGACAATCTTTCGCTTTGTGTGATCTTCTTTTCTCTTCCTCACTCTGACCGAGCACAGTCGCACATTTGCCCCAGTTGAACTAGACGCACGCGACGCGACACCCAAATGCGTTGGGCTAGAGTGGAAGGGGTGATGAGAGTGACGCGTCTGTGAGCAGAGATGCAGAGGAAGGCGAGAAATCGCCAACATCGCATCCTTCCACCACATTCTAACTTTTGTGAATAGAAAAGAGATTTTCTTTTCTTCTGTAGCTCGCGTTGATTTCGTGGTTTCCCATTCGTGATTATCATAGTTATTTTCTCCTTAACTTCGAGTTTGTTAACAACTTTTCCTACTTTCTTACTTCCTCTATTTGTAAAACTCTATTCATTTTCCTTATAAGTTTAATAATAATAATAATAACACATTTATTCATTTCAACCACCTAGGAATAAAATTTACAGAAAAAAAAGAAGAGAAAAAGAAGAAAAGAGGGGAATGTGGGTGGGGGGAAGGAACAATGGCTAGTACAAGACCATTGGCCGGCAGTAGCCAAAGGTCAGTTAGGATATAAACAAAATGCTAGGGGGGATCTTCTCGATGCGCGCAGCGAAGGCCTCGGAGGACAGTCTTCCGGGAAACAACTTGGCCACTCGGTTCCAAAGGGCAAGATGTGTATGTAGGAAAGAGTCATGGGGTAGGCCTAGGGAGGATAGAAGATATGGGTAACGGGGGGAGACGCCGGGTTTGAGGAACATGCTTAGGGAGGGGAAATGGTACTTGTGTGAGATTATGTTGTGGAATGTTCTGAGGATAAGAAGAACCCGTCTGTGGAATATCGATTTTAATTTGGATTGACTTAGACGGTCACCATAGGAGGAGAACCGCATGTTACATCTTTGGAAGACTCTTCTACTGAAAAATCTGAGGGGAGACTCTAATTTGCTGGAGAGGGATGCCGAGGAGGGATGGAAGAGTTCGCAACCGTACTCGAGAATGGGTCTGACGTAAACGTTGAATAGTTTAAAGTAGAGACTGGGGTTCGAGGAGCGAAATGCTTTCAGAATTTGTTTGCATTTCAAGAGGGCGGTATTGCTAACTATTGTAATATGCTTATCAAATTTGAGCTTGTCATCAATCCAGATGCCGAGGTCCTTAACGGAATCTTTTGATTCGATTTCGATGCCATTCAGGAGATATCTGGTTTTGGGGTTTTTCTTTCCAAAGTGGAGAACTGCGGACTTATTTTCTGCTAGTTTTAGTTGCCAGGTTTCACACCATGATGCGACAATGTTTGCACTTTCTTGAAGCGTTTTTGGGTTATCTCCGAAAATTTTCAGGTCATCAGCGAACGCGCTCAGGCAAATCGTTTGTAATCTAGCTAGGAGATTTCGTAATCTAAACCGAGTCGAGAGTATTTCTAACCGGACCTAATTAGATTGCACTATCACCTAATTAGATTTGCAAACCGGCTAATTAGATTAACAAGTTTCCTAACTAGATTCGGATATCTCCTAAATAGATTTGGCCATATTTTCAAAATTCTTGTTAAAAATCGACAAATTTATTGCAAAAACAAATACAAATAAGAGTTCAACAGAATAAAAAGTAAAAAAATTAACAAATTAGAAGAAAATTTCGACTTCGGCGGTTTAAATGTGCTCGCGTCAGCCTACACTCCCTTCGCTCTCTTCAATTCTTTCTTGCTCGTCGAACGACTGTGGTTGCTGAAAGCAGAAGTCCGTGTTATACGTGCTCCGGGAAACATACAAAATGTTTGCCAGATGCAGTTTTAAAAGAATCGCAACAGGCAAAAGGCACGAGATCCTTTGGACGAGTGACCTTTGAGGCCAAAAATCTTTCGTCGAGCCTGCAAATTCGTTAATATGAGGAGGAAATCCGGGTTTTCAAACTGACTGGGTCGTCGAACGCGCCTGTCACAATATTCTTCTTCATGTTCATCTTATTAGCTACTTCTGTACAGTCGAAATATGTCGAAATCGCTGAAAAAAATAGTCCGGTCATTTCGAAATCGAAGTAAAAACCTCTTCTTGATTGGGTAGTCGACAGCAGAAAGTACATTCGACTCAAGTCTTCATCACTCAGTTTTGCCCACGATGCCACTGAAAAACACGCAGTTTCATTTCGCTAATAAAAAACTTTCAAAAAACTACGAACTTCTCTCATCGTATTTCATCGTATCGTCCAAAATCGCCTTATTGTTTCTTTCCGTGTAGCAATCTTCTTCGAATTCGGATTGGTAATCTTCTTCTGAATCAGTGCCCGAATCGGAACGTTTGGACGAAGTGTCGGATGAACATAAGGAATCAATCGGAGAATTAATGTTTTCGTGCGAAGTTTCTGCACGAGATTCTGTCGGTTGACTCATGCACGTGCGGAGAAACGATCGAGTTGTTATTTTCACACGTGGCATGATTGCCGTCTGAAATAGACACATTTCTGCACAAAAATGTAAAAATAATAGTATAACAGCTCAAAAAAAAAACGTTCGAAATCGATCGAAAACGGCGTGTCTTCCTTCTGTTCAAATTTCTGTTCAAATTCCCGTCAATCTAATTAGGTTGACTTTAGATTCGGATTTTTTCTAATTAGATTAGCAATTATGTCTGCTGGCGCGATTCGAGATCGCGCCTTCGTTTTTACAGTCAAATCTAGCTAGGTTTAGTTTAGATTCCGTTTTCACCTAGCTAGATTCGGAACTCGGTTTAGATTACGAAATCTCCTAGCTAGATTACAAACGATTTGCCGGAGCGGTGACATGTACGTCGGCGGGAAAAAGGGATTCGTGATTATCATAGTTATTTTCTCCTTAACTTCGAGTTTGTTAACAACTTTTCCTACTTTCTTACTTCCTCTATTTGTAAAACTCTATTCATTTTCCTTATAAGTTTAATAATGCATATGCTTATAATAATCCTTATAATTTACTAATAAATGTCTGTTTAGGAAAATGGAAAAGCAGCGTGCTTTGATTCTTGAGAAAGTGCTTTTTACTTCAACGAAACCGAATGATAACGTTCACCGCTGCGTCGTGGCAATCGATGTTTCACACGCGGCGTCGTACCGTCATGGCCACCATTCGCAGCTGAAGATGGACGATAAGGTGATGCTGTACAACGTGATCGAGCCGATGATACAATACGAGGTTTTTTTTTTCAATGATGTGAACTAGTTGCTGAATTTAAGCTTCTTTTCAGTCGGCAGTTGTGGCTATTTCGGAGAGCCTTGATGTTATTGTATTCAAATTAATTGATAGAACATTCGAGAACTTTCCCCGCAATACGGAAACCCTTTACTGCGGAATGGAGTATCTTCACACGGCGCGGCTTTTGCGACGTTCACCAAACGTTTGATCCTCAGTCTGTGCATTTTGACACGCCGGTGTTGCTCTGCGTACAGTGCAATTTATGTTACGCGCAAAGTTCATTTTTTTTAGTTTTTGATGAATTTTCTCCAAATATACATCTCTTTAAAGCGTTTTCTCCACTTTCTAACTCAATTAGACCTTTTTACAGATTCCAGGTGAAGTAATACGCGAAGAGAAGTCAATGCGGTGAAAAGAAACGCGTAAGTAAGTGAAAGCAAAGTTTTATTCAGAAAATGCACGATTTCTCGAAGATTTTCTAATCTTTTAGTTAAAAAACGTTACTTACACTACTGAGAACATTTTGGAACCAAAAAGAAGTAGAGTCACAGCTCGCTTTCGCGGAAAAACCAATAGTTTGTCGGAAGACAGTGAAATTTCGTTGAAAAAATTTTTTTTTTGCTTCTACGAACTGTCACTCTAATTTTTTTTGGTTCGAAAACATTCACAGTCATGTAAGTGAACTATTTAAACAAAAAAAGTAAAAAATCTAGAGACGGTTTTTGAGAAAAAAATTTTTTTCAACGAAATATCACTGTTTTCCGGCAAAAAACCAATTTTTACGCGAAAGCGAGCTGTCACTCTACTTTTTTTTGATTCGAAGACATTCACAGTCATGTTAGTGAACTTTTTAAAAGAAAAGATTAGAAGATCTAGAGATGTTTTTCGAGAAATCGTATATTTTCTGAATAAAGCATTACTTCCATTTACTTACGCGTTTCTTTTCATCGCATCGACTTCTTTTCGCGTATTACATCATCTGGAATCTGTAAAAAGGTCTAAATGAGGTAGAAAGCAGAGAAAAACGCTTTAAAGAGATGAATATTTGGAGAAAATTCATCAACAACTAAAAAAAATGAACTTTGCGCGTAACATAAAATGCACTGTACGCAGAGTCACACCGACGCGCAAAAATGCATACCATTTGGCTGCGTATGTTGTGAAAGCCGCGCCGTGCTTCAGTTGGGAGTAAAGCCGCTATGGAAGCAGGGAATTATTTCGGAGCGGAGGAGTATGTCTAATTTCTTCACTTTACAAATGTTATTTTTTTGATTCAGGGGGATTTTACATTGGAAGTTCGCATGGTCAAGTGGGAGACTCGGGATCCGGGATTTTCGACTGCTCGGGATTTTTCCTTGGAATCTCTGTTGCTAAGAAGAGTTTGGCCTTCTCAGATCGGGAGAACATGCCAGTTGGAGAAATCGCGGACCATCACCCTGATACCCGGATCGTCAGTTCCGAAGTTATCTTCGGTTTCTCGGGACTTGTAGACAAAGAAGTAAGTTGTTTTATTTTTAGTTAGAGAATTGGTTTAATTGTTATGTTTCAGTTCGAGCCAACCGGGAAATGTGCGCGTGTCGTGTGAAGCTAACCACGGATTACCTCTAAAAAAGTGGACCCTCGACGTTTTTCTTTTCTTTCTTCTCCTCGTCTTTTCTCTGTTTTTGTTTCAGTTTTTCTCTTTTAGAGTACCATTAACACTCCAATAACACTCCATTTCTATACGCAAACACTGCCCACGGAGTTCCATACGGGAAACACGCAAGCTGGCGGATATATTTCGTTGTGCGCATTTCTGGTGCGCGAATTGCGCGCCAAGGATACTGCATTTGATCACTTCCGCGCTAGTTTTGAGATTTTTCCTCTGTTTTTCCGTATGAAAACTGGTTATGTCATTATTTTATCGTGTTGCTGTTAGAATTTACCGAATAATTAGCATAATAGAACTATTTTTTGTGGTTTTCAGGGAATATTGCGCTCAAATACTTCAAGAAGTGCAAGAAACCATGAGAACAAGCGGAATCACTCGAAACTGAGTATTCTGGTGGACCAAGAGAGAGCGGTTAGATATTAGAAGAGCAGTATCATTCTTCTCCGAGCAAACATTTTCAGATATCGAGACTAACGAGATCGTACGAGATGGCAGAAAAATGGAAAAGAAAACGAGCAAGGCAAATTCATTCACGAAACCGGGAATTATTCTTTCGGATGCCACGATTTACCAGCGTCATAAATGACGTTGTAATTGGTCCACTGCTGCAAAACGAGAATAGTTCTCAGCTTCGTCTCGTGAACCGAAGCGTAATGCCTATTGACGGCATTCATCACTGCGGATCTCATCGAATCTCATCGTTGATCACTTTACGCTTCTTCGGAGGCATATCTGTAACACTTTTTTCTAGTTCTTCCACAATTTAGCATAAATCATTCTGTGTTATTTGCTTCATGTTCTTTTCCTCCATGCACCTTTCATTTTATCCTCGTTCAGCCAATTCACAACTAATTTTGTCCTCCCACTAACCTAATGACTATTTGTCCAGATATAGCCTGACCGTTCGCTGAAGCTGTTATTCACCCGTGTTCTGAAACAATCGGCTCAAAATGAAGTAGAATGCAAAAGACGAACATGCGAGGAGTACATGCGATAAAAAAAGACGAAGAGTAATGTTCTAAAACAGAGAATATCATGCAAAAAAACATTCGATTTTTTTGTGGGCTCTGTAATATTTTTTTGATGATCGATGTGCTTTTTAACGACGTCCTTTTTATTGTTAGAACTCCACGTGATGACAAAAAAATAGTCCGAATTTTTCTGAAACATCAGCACAGCGCAGCGTCAATTCGGCAAGCTTTTTTTCTACCTTTTTCACTTCAAACTTATAGAACTCGGTCATTTCTGAGAATTTTTTGACGATTCGGCGCTCAAAATGTTCGCAATAAAATTCTTTATCAAATTGAGAGAAAGGAATTAAGAATAAAACTCGAGAACCGCAGCGATTCGTCAATTTCCTTTTTTTCACTGTAAACCTTAAAATGAATAGAAATCGCTCGAATCTGCACGAATTACGCTCGTTTGGCGCTCAAAACATCGGATTTGCAGTGAAGAACAACATTGAGAGACTAGAATTTAGGAAAAACTAGGCCTTGTAGCTTAATTTTTGAAGAAAAGGCGAAAATCAACGTAAAATCCAAAAAAAAAAAAAACAATTCCGCGCCCGTAAATCGACACCAGTTTAAAGGCGCATAGAGTGCAAACTTTCCATCGGGGAACTCCAGCTGCCCATATTAGTTAACGCAAACTTAATTGTTTACGTAAATCGATAAATTTCTCACTTAACTACGTTTCGCGCATTATTTGGAAGCTACCTGTTTTCCCTTTATACCTCCCTCTTTTCCGAAAGTAAAATAATAGCTGGTAGTAGAGTAGACCGAAACATTTTTCATGCCACCAAACCGTATTTAGTATTCTTACAAACTGAATCAACATACATTTCAAGAACAAAAAACGACGTGCGGTTGTTTTTTTAAATTAAATTTTTCTCACTGTCCACAATGCTGGAGGAGCCGTTTACCTATCCAAACTCTGGACAGTACTTCACCAGATGTGCAGTGGTTATCAAGCCGTCAGCAGCACTGAGTCACAGCGTGGACGTTTATCATTAAAGCGCACTTGCAGCGCACGCGCGGGAGTTCAAAAATAATAAATTTTCGGCGAAAATTGCGTTATTCCCCGTGTAAAAATTGAACGCCGCAATTTTTTCGTTTTTGTCACAGGCTAGATTGTAGCTGGGAGTTAGACGGTCATTTTGAGCACACACAGAGCCAAATCGGTGCAGCCGTCGTGTTTCCTTGTGCAAAACTGTGTAGCGATGCGAAATAAATTTAAAAGTTTGAGGTTATTTTGAATTGTTTCGCAGATTTATTACGACAGTGACGCTTGAATACTGTTATATAATGGCTAGAGACGCTGTACGGATGCAAAAAATCGCAACTCAATGCAAATAGACCGATTTTAAAAATTATGAAAGACTAGCGTGAATTTCTGGCTGAAATACATGAAAAGCAGAAGTTTGTCAATATTAGAAGTTGTAGAGATGAAAGAGAGCTTTATCAAACGTAAAAATGATTATGTGCGCGATTGTTACGTCTTTTTGCCGTCAGAAATCTAAAGTGTCGCTGAAAGTGAGCTTTGTAGGCAAACTTCCGGCCACAAGGATCGAATTTTAGAATTGTAGAAGTGAGATAACATAGCGATAAAAGAAAACTAAGAATATTTTCAATGAGCTTCATTCAGTAATCAAACAAATTTAGTGTTCCGTTAAAATTTTTTTGCTGGAGATTCCTGGTTTTCAGTTGATTAGTGCTTTTTTCTATTCGCGTGTCCGCCGCAATCCGATAAAATGATGGGGAAAACCTGAAATTATTTATCGGCGAAGAAAATAACTGTTCTTTTTTTATTCTAACCGCTACTCCGTGCCTCTCGGCAATTTCCACCAGCTTCGCGCCTTTCCAACTGCAGAAATTGTCGCAACGAGTCCTGAAAATTTAAATTTGAGTTTTTTGCAACAAATATTTAACGAAAAATTGCGTTTCGACATGTTTTAAAAGATAAAAACGAGAAAAAGATTTTAATTGCGAAACCAAAAAATCCAATAGTGCGCCAAGTGAGTGCAAGATGCGCCAGCAGTCTCCTTTGGTCTCATGTCCACGCTGTGACTCAGTGAGCAGGAAGTTTTCAGAGGTGAATAAATTTCTTTTTCAATTTTGCCACTGAACATTTTGGTCGAAGTGTTCCATATCCCTTTGTTATTATAACCGTCATTTTGGGTGCTTCAGTTACATAGATGGTGATGATTTGCATATTGGTATTTCGGATTCCTTCACTGTTGTACATTCATTTTGGAATCATGGCGTGTTGTCCGAAAGTTGGTACTAATTCTGTTATCAATAATCATTGATGTACATTTTTAGGCGATAATTGGGGAGATTCCATAGTTGTTTGCAGGCTACTTCCTTTTTTCTTCAATAATTTAGAATGGTTTGATAGCTCATTGATCTCGTTTTTGCAACTTTACTCATCCGAGTATAATTATTACATAAGCAGGTATACCTACTAACCTGAAACGTTCAGCATTTCAGAACTACGACGACATAAAATGGAACTGCTTCGATTTCGTTCTGAACTTCCTAAAATTCATAAACTTTGGTTGTTATACCAAGGCCCAATTCGTTCAAAAATTTTTTTACTCGTTTGATTGTCGAATTTATGTACTTGAAAGTGAAAAGAAGAACTTTCCATAATTATTTGACAGGATTTGATCGATGCTATTCAATGTTATGATTTTCGAATTTTTTGTTATTATCAATAATTATCAATAATATAACGCATTCTCTGTAAGACTCGAGCAATGAGGGACATAGGGAAAGATTTTTATGTGAGCATGTATATAAGGACTAGTGTGCCCTATATGCACAATATTGGGTCCCAGCTCCGGGTTACGGTAGTATGGTAGGTGCTCAAAGGTGCACAACTCGAATTTTTTTCAAAAAAATCGTAGCAGGCTGAAATTTTTTTCTTACAGTTTGTATATGTTTAGTGATATGTTTTTTTCCAAATTTTTCAGCTGTTAAAAAAATTTTTTTGGTCGAGTTGTAACAGAAAAAAACTTTTACATTTTTGCATGATTTTTGGAGAAAACTGAAAATTAAGGGCCTTAGTAAGAGGCTCCGGAGAAAACGATCTACTACACAAAGGTGTATTTTCATCTTAGCTTTCGACAAAAAAAAAATTCGAGTCATTTCGACTTGCAGCAGATGTCGAAAAGTTGAATTGTTTGTGAGCGACTTATACCTTTTCCCTCGTAAGAACATTGTATTCCATCGGAAATCAATGCGAAGCTGCAGAAATCAGTTTGTATTAACACAACATTGTTTTTAAGTGTTTTTTGAAAAGTTTTACGTTGCTTATTTTGAAAATTAAAACTCAGAAATGCATTTTTTATTATAACTGTTTTTATTCTAAAAACAGCGACATCGTGTTGCTGAACCCTAGTTTTTTCACTCTTTTTTCCATTTTTATTTATTTATTTTTCTTGTTTTTTCAAATATTCGTTCATTTATTCAACTTTATTCATGATTATTTTCATTTTGAAGAGTTAAAGGACCAGGGAACGTTCCGAGTTCATGTGTCTGACTGAATTGCTTCTTATTGCCACATTCACTGTCCGAGCCCCAACTTTCAGAAATAACTGTGAATGGAACAGCGCTTAATCAAAGTTGTGGCCGTGGCCCAGAAAAGTTCTAGGCCTTGTGATCTTTTTCGGATTTTTTCTTGCGTTCGGCACAATCTTCATACTTTGCAAAACATTCACACACATCAGCATCCATACAGAGTGGAAGAGCATCAAACTACTCACAGGGAAGAGTTTTCACACCGGAGTCGTCGTATTCTTTAGAGTTCATCTCTTTCGACATTAATTTCAATAATTCACCAGAAGTCTCTCTTTTCGATTGCTTCCTTAATTCCATTTCGTGCTCCGTCGCAAGTGAACTAGATGAGACGGAGAACGTTTACGATGAGAACAATGAAGAAAATAGTGATTTCGAGAATATTGTTTGTCTAATAGAAAAAGAAAAAATTACTTATTCGTTGTTTGAAATTATTAAGTCATTCTGAAATAAATTTAAAGGACCAGGGAACCCTCAAATTTTTTGATTTTTTTGTGAAATTTTTTTGTGTATTTTTGAATTGTCTCTTATTGCCTCATACACTGGTGAAATGTTGACACTCAGAAATGCCAATGAACGAAACGGCGTGCAATTGAAGTTGTGGCCGTAACCTAGGAAACTCCGGCCTAGAACTTTTTCTGGGCCACGGCCACAACTTTGACTAAGCGCTGTTCCATTCACAGTTATTTCTGAAAGTTGGGGCTCGGACAGTGAATGTGGCAATAAGAAGCAATTCAGTCAGACACATAAACTCGGTACGTTCCCTGGTCCTTTAACTCTTCAAAATGAAAATAATCATAAATAAAGTTGAATAAATGAACGAATCTTTGAAAAAAATGAGAAATAAATAAATAAAAATGGAATAAAGAGTGAAAAAAACTAGGGTTCAGCAACACGATGTCGCTGTTTTTTTAGAATAAAAAAACAGTTATAATAAAAAAATGCATTTCTGAGTTTTAATTTTTCAAAAATAAGCAACGTAAAACTTTTTCAAAAAAAACACTTAAAAAAACAATGTTGTGTTAATACAAACTGATTTCTGCAGCTTCGCATTGATTTCCGATGGAATACAATGTTCTTACGAGGGAAAAGGTATAAGTCGCTCACAAACAATTCAACTTTTCGACATCTGCTGCAAGTCGAAATGACTCGAATTTTTTTTTTGTCGAAAGCTAAGATGAAAATACACCTTTGTGTAGTAGATCGTTTTTCTCCGGAGCCTCTTACTAAGGCCCTTAATTTTTTTAGTTTTTCTCCAAAAAAATCATGCAAAATGTAAAGTTTTTTTCTGTTACAACTCGACCAAAAAAATTTTTTTAACAGCTGAAAATTTGGGAAAAACATATCACTAAACATATACAAACTGTAAAAAAATTTCAGCCTGCTACGATTTTTTTGAAAAAAAATTCGAGTTGTGCACCTTTGAGCACCTACCATACTACCGTAACCCGGAGCTGGGACCCAATATTGTGCATATAGGGCACACTAGTCCCTATATACAAGCCCATAAAATTTCTAAGCCCTACCTCCTCTACAGGCTCTATGTCCACACCCACTATGACCATGCTCCAGTCTTACGGAGAATGGCTTATATTATCAATAATACGTTATTAACAATAAACAAGCTATGCAAAACGTATTTCATTCTGAAGCTCGTTATGTAAAATCGCTAACAGTGTACTTTTCATTCCAGCTGTGCAGTTTATAGTTGTACTTTGTTGTATCAGATGGCTGAGTTCTTGGAAGATTTCGGATCAAATGATGTCAATAGGACCGTTGATCGAAATGATTTTCGAACGAATCAATTTCAAATATTCACCCATGAGTATTGAAAAAATGTTCAGTTTCCCATTGGATATGTTCATAATACGTACTTGCTCAAATCCTGTGCGCATTCGGAGCAACATTTCACTCGTAGCACTCCGTTTTTGCTGAGAATGAGGTTCTTCAGCTTCTGCTCATTCTTCACTTCATCGCATTGAAAATTGCGGTCAACAGCTGTAAAAAAGCTTCTTGTATTGTACTATCTGTCATGATTTCTCGTACCTGCTGCCGACTGTGTAGTTGACAGAAGGAATAAGCAGCGCAGGAGGTCGTTTTCGGAAATTTCTTTCCAATCTCGAGCTGAAGATTTTTTGTCGAACTTTCGTCATGCTCTTAGAACCGACCTCTTTCATCTTCATCATCTGAATTTCTCGAATTCGCCGGTTCCTCAATGTTGCCACTTTCTTCAGTGTCTCTTTCTTTATTTTCATCTTCGAAAGGAAAACTTTCTTCGAAGTTCGACATCTCTTCAAAGTCCACTGATTCCAGTAAGTTCCCGGGTTCCGTGTTCGGCGCGATGCTTTGGACGACTGCTTTTCGGGCGCCATCCTCAAGAATGCTTCTTGTGGTGACGCGACATGAGTTCATTGATACGTATCGGAGCTGTAAAAATTGAACATTAATTTTTTAGGATTCCAATATTGCATGCGTTGTTTATTTTACTTCAATAATGTCAAATATGAAGTAAACGCAAATCGAAAAAATAAGAACTTATCGAGAAATTGTCATTTCCTGAGAAAAAATATGATAATTTAGGAAATTAGGGCAAAACAGTGAGAGAAAACTATTTATTGCTACGCCTAATTAGGGGTTGCAAGTGCGCTCGATTGCTAAATCTTTGTAATCTAATTAGATTTCACTGGAACTTCAGTCAAATCTTATTAGATTGCAATGCTTTGAAAATCTAATTACACTGCGAACTTCAGGAAAATTCGATTGCAATCTAATTAGATTTCACTGAAACTTCAATCAAATCTTATTAGATTGCGAAATAGAGCTTTTTCTTATTAGATTGCAAACTCTTCTAATTAGATTGCAATCGAGTTTCCAGAGTAGCCTGTGACAAAAACGAAAAAATTACGGCGTTCAATTTTTACACGGGGAATAACGCAATTTTCGCCGAAAATTTATTATTTTTGAACTCCCGCGCGTGCGCTGCAAGTGCGCTTCAATGATAAACGTCCACGCTGTGACTCAGTGTATCTCCGAAAATTTTCAAGTCATCAGCGAACGCGGTGACATGGACGTCGGCGGGGAAAAGGGCTAGCCAATCATTAATGAAGACCAAGAATAGGAACGGCCCTGTGATCCCCTGTGGCCCCTGTGGTCACAGGGCCTGATATGTTCGCAGGTTCTTAAACCAAGAAGGCGGGAAATACGGGAGACGAGCGTATCGCTAAGACACGTTTATTCAGAGTGAATAAAGTAGAAAAGAATATCAGACAGAATACTCCGAGTCGAGGAACTACGCTCAAAACAACGGAAAAGCTAATTGTCGTCAACTATAATGTTTGCGGCACCGAGAGAGTGTGTGCGCAGAGAGTGACAAGACTGGAAGAGAAAAAAAACAAGTTTGTGTATATGGAAGAGTACACAACATCTCCCCACGATAAATAAGAAAGTAAATGGGGGTAGAGAGGACCTAGTTATCAATGATAACTTTTCTGTGTCGGGTCCATATCGAATTGTTTGACGGCAGTTCGACTTCTAGCAGAGCGTCTGACGATCGGCACAGTCGGCGAGTGCACAGGCGAAGCAGGCAGCGATTTAGCATCCAGACGAACCAACGAATCCTCCTCCGACTCCAAAACATCCTCAGAATCCTTTGAATCCTCGGCATCCTTCGAAACCTCCTTCCAATCTTTTGGGCCATCCAAGTCCTTCGTGTCGTCCAAATCGCTCGATCTTCCCAGTCCAAACGTGTCGATCAGCTCCTCCAGCGGTTGACGTCGAATCCTCGGTTTCAGGTGATTGGCGTGCCTTTTCCAGCGAAAACCGTCCACTTCGACCTCGTAGACGGTGTTCCCGAACTTCTTTATCACAATCCCGGCACTCCAAGTTGGCTTGAGTGGATTGCGAAAGTCCTTGACGTAGACGGCTTCCTGCGGTCGATACTTTTGCACACGAGCTCCATGATGATCATCGAATTGTCGTTCCATGACCAGATTCCTTTCAGAGATTCCAGAAACCGTCCTTGGCAGCAGTAGTTGCAATGGCGTGCGGATCGGCCGTCCGAGAAAGCTTTCGGCGGGCGACTTTTGCTGCGGCGCCGCCGCACACGGAGTCGAACGATAAAGTTGTAAGAAGACGTTGAGCGCGTCCTCTCCCTTCGACTCGGCTTTCAGCTTCTTCAGTGAGCGCTTAAAAGTATCGACAAACCGTTCAGCTTGGCCATTTGATTGCGGATGATAGGGCGGTGCGAAGACGTGGTTGATCCCTCTCTCCTCGCAGAATGACTGGAACAATTGCGCGGCGAATTGTGTTCCATTGTCCGTCACCAGCGTCTCCGGATTCCCGAATTGCCCAAAAATCTTCTCGAAGAGCTTGATGGTGGCGGTCGATGTGATCGATTTGGTCGCCATCACTTCCGGCCATTTTGAATATGCGTCTACTACCACCAAGTAGTAGACTCCGTCGACGGGTCCGGCGAAATCGGCGTGCACGCGTGTCCACGGAGCAGCTGGTTTTGGCCACGAGTAGAGCACGTTCTTTATTGGATTCTTGGCAGCGGCGGCGCAGTTGTCGCAGCTCCGCACAACCTGCTCGATATCCTTGTCGATTCCGGGCCAGAAGACGAGACTGCGAGCAAGTGCCTTCATACGGACGATTCCCGGGTGTGCTTTGTGAAGCGAAACGAGAACTCGTTGACGAAGACGTTGCGGAACGACGACGCGATGAGCCATCATCAGACAGTCCTCGACAATCGACAGTTGTTCCCGGCGTCTCGAAAATTGCTGGAACGCGGGCTCCTTTTCGAGATCCTTCGGCCAGACTCCTCGCTCTGCACACGCCATGGCTTTTTGAATAAGCGGATCCGTTTTTGAATGATTTCGAATCATTGCGGCGGTGACTGGAAGCTGGTTGCACTGACTGGCGAGTTCCGGCGAAGCTTGAACTTCGATTTAAGCGATGATCCCCTCATCTTCTTCAGCTTGACGGGCTTTCTGGTTGATGAGGCGTGACAGGGCATCGGCCTGTCCGAAATCTTTTGTTTTGGCGTACGAGATTTCGAAATCGTAGTTGAGCAGAATGGTGACCCACCTTTGCAGTCGATTTGCAGTATAAATCGGTACTCCTTTGGATCCGCCAAAGATTGTCAGCAATGGCTTGTGATCCGTTCGGAGAGTGAAGTGGCGGCCATGAAGGTAACGATGGAACTTGGTGACGGCGGTGACAAGAGCGAGTCCTTCCTTCTCAATCTGACTGTACCTTTGTTGAGTGGCCGTCAGAGCACGACTAAAGTGGAAAATCGCTTTTTCCGTCCCATTTGGCCAACGATGGGAGATCACGCCACCGATTCCATATTGCGAGGCGTCGGCAGCGACGATGATCGGCAACTTTGGATCGTAATGAGTGAGCAGAAGGTCGGAATTGAGCATCCTTTTGACAGCTTCGAATGCCTTCTGACAGGCGGCGCTCCATTCGAACTTGACGTCCTTTTTGGTGAGAGCGTCGAGCGGCCGTCGATGCGCGTGCAGCGCAGGCACAAAAGATCCGTAGAACTGGACCATTCCAAGGAAAGCTCGCGTTTCCGTCACATTTTTCGGCGGCGGCATGTCGAGAATCGCCTGGACGTTGGCTGGATCCGGGCGGCGTCCTTCAGAGTCGATTTGGAATCCCAAAAAGTCGATTTTTGGCATGAGAAAATGGCATTTCTCCGGTTTGATGCGGAATCCGTGCTCGTCCAGCTTTGCAAAAACGGCGACAACACGGTTATTGTGCTCTTCGACCGTTCGTCCACAGATCATCAGGTCGTCCAGGTAGACCGTCGTTCCTTCCATTCCGGCAACGAGTGAATCCATGATTTGTTGAAAAATCGCTGGTGCCGTTTTCACTCCGAATGGCAGACGTTGATAGCGAAAAGTCCAAGATGCGTATTGATGCAGAGAAGTTCTGACGCTTCCGGATCGGTTTCCACTTGTAGGTACGCCTCCGCCAAATCGATTTGAGTGAAAAGTCGACCTCCGTTCAGTTTTGAAAAACTGTCCTCGAGAGTCGGCAACGGATGTTGGTGCTGCTGCAGACAATCGTTGAGTCCGGTTGAAAAATCGGCGCAAAGTCGGAGTTCGCCATTCTTTTTCATCACAACAACGATGGGCGTGGCCCAGTCTGAATGGTTTGTTGGGGCGAGGACTCTTTTGGCGACGAGTCGTTGGAGTTCCCCAGTGACGGCCGGCAGTCTAGCATATGGAACCGGTCGAGCCTTGCGAAAAACGGGTTTGGCACCTGGTTTCAGCCGCAGCGTCGCTCGCGTTTTGGTGCACGTACCCAGTCCGCTCTTGAAGACATTTGGATGACTCTTCTTCAGCAGACTGAGAAGTTCCTCGCGGCACATGATGAGCGGCGCCTTCTTGTTAGTCACCTGGACACTGTTGACGCAGGTGTCCGGCGAATCGACGAGCGAGTGCAGGAGAGACGAGTCGAGGGCCATCCAGTCCATGCCGAGCAGTGTAGATGTGTCGGCGACGTGGGCGGCGCCCTCATACTCCTTTCCGTGCAGTTGGCACTTGCATCGGAAAACTCCTTTCGTCTTGATCTCGTTTCCGCAAGCGGACATGAGCTTTTCAGACGATTTGACGAGCGGCGGCGTTCCAATCCTCCTCCAGTCACGCGTATTGATTACGGTGACATCCGATCCGGTGTCCAGCTGCATTCGGACATCGGTGCCATTGATCGGAATATTGAGGTAGATTCTTCGCTTCGGTGGCACAGTTTGCACGACAGCCACGACGCTGATCTTCTTCTTCTGGAACTTTTTCGTCGACTTCTTTGAATGATTCTTGTTTTTGTAGCAAAACTTAGCTGTGTGGCCGTCCTTTCCGCAGACGTTGCACGTGACTTTCTCGATTTTGCAGTCACGGGACCAATGATTTCCACCACATTTTGGACATGGGGACGGTGGCGACTTCTGCGGTGTACTTGCCTTCTTTGCCTTGATGGCGTTGATTTCCGGCTTTACTTTCGACGTGCCCACTCGCTGCGAATCGTCACGAATCTCCAGAAGTCGTTTGATCTTCGTTTCCAACTCCAGAAGCGTAATTTCTGTCTTACTTTCCAGGAGTTGCAGCGCTTTCGTTCGAATGTCGGCGAACGATTCGTCTCGTAGTCCGGCGATCCAAATGAGACAGCATACTTGATCGTCGGTCATTTCCTTCCACCTTGATGTGGTGAAGCGTCGGAGAATGGTGCCCGTGTACTCTTCGAGAGCTCCTCCAGTGAACGACGTCTGCAGGAAATCATATCGGCGGCGGAACTCCGACGAAGTTGACTTGAACGTCTCCTTCAACTTAGAGATCAGCTCGGAGAACGTCAAATTGTCCGGGTGCATCGGCAGCAGTCGATTCGCAAAGAGCGAGTATTCCCGGCCATCCAACTTTGAGAGCACGAGTCGGGCCTTAGCTTTGTCTTCCAGAAGTTCTCCTTCCTCGTCAAGGAGCTTCTCGTATCGCACAAACCAATTCTCGAAGGTCGCCTCTTCCTCCGGGTCGTATTTGAAAAGCGCGAGACGAGCAGACAGCGAATCGATTATGCGCGACATATTCACTGATTTTTCCTCCTCCAGTGGCGGCTGACGTGGCGGGGTTTGAGGAGCCAGCGCTTCCTTGACTGCATCCGCGACTACTCTTGCAATCTCAGCAGAGAGGCGAGACAACTCGCCAGGATTTGAGGGTTCCATCACGTCTGGATCCGAGACGGTCTCTGTTGAGTGGTAAAAATGTTATTTACCGGTTTGCGAGCAGAAAAATCCGAGATCCTGATCGCCAATTTGATATGTTCGCAGGCTCTTAAACCAAGGAGGCGGGAAATACGGGAGACGAGCGTATCGCTAAGACACGTTTATTCAGAGTGAATAAAGTAGAAAAGAATATCAGACAGAATACTCCGAGTCGAGGAACTACGCTCAAAACAACGGAAAAGCTAATTGTCGTCAACTATAATGTTTGCGGCACCGAGAGAGTGTGTGCGCAGAGAGTGACAAGACTGGAAGAGAAAAAAAACAAGTTTGTGTATATGGAAGAGTACACAACAGGGCCGTTCCTTGGGGAACGCCTGATAGCACTGGGAAGGAGATGTCGGAGATGAAATTATCAATTTATACGGCAGATGAGCGACTTTCCACGGAACCCCAGCCTTCCAATAAAAAATTCCCTTGGCGCAATTCACGTGCGCTAAACAAGGCGCGTACGCGTTATTCCGGAGCGTCGTTGTAGAGTTTCTCATTTCAATTTTTCCTTTTTTTTTTGCATTATCCCCATCTTTCCAGAACCAATCAGTGTCAAAACTTATGATAATGATTAGAAATAAATAAAATATGAAATGTTAACTGCTTCGTTATCAATTTCGAGACGCTTTATGTGAAAATTACAGATAGTTCGACGAACGGCGGAATATTGCTGCAGCAATTCAGGGCAGGAAAAGATTTTATCGATAATTGAAAAAGAACATGAAGAAAAGTGGATGAAGAGATTCAACATATTATAGGGGCACCGCACAGAAAGGGCGCGCTATTGAGAAGAGCCCGCGAAAACCTGGGGGAAATTTGAATGGTGTGACAAGAGAAAGTTAGTCCGCGGCCACGTAGGCTGCTGCAGAAATATTTGTTTTCCTTCTGTTTTTTCGTTTTCGTTTTAATAAATCGATTGTGTTCTCACCTTTTTCGTAGTGAATTTAATTAATGTTTTCTTTTTCATGTTCAAAACATGCGTTTCTAAACAGATTCAATCAACAGTTTGCGGAAAATAAGAGAAAACGTTGACGACGTGCACCATTTTTCGACTGCGATAGCTTTTTATAGAAATTCTATACATGAAAAAGAAAAAATTAATTAAATTCACTACGAAAAAGGTGAGAACACAATCGATTTATTAAAAAGAAAACGAAAACACTGAAGGAAAACAAAAATTTTCTGCAGCCGCCTACGTGGCCGCGGACTAACTTTCTCTTCTCACACCATTCAAATTTAGAGTCCCCCATGGGGCCCCAGGTTTTCGCGGGCTCTTCGCAATAGCGTGCCCTTTCTGTCCGGTGCCCCTATAATACGTTTTGGTAACAGAAATCTCACATATCGTTGAGAATTAGCCGAGTTATTTCGATTTGGAGGTTTTGGCCTGGATTTTGATGTTTTTCGAATAGTTTTCGAAAACTGCTCAAGAAAACTGACCGCCGGAACCTGAATTTTGTGAAGAAAGATTTAGCGAACATTTTTATCGTTCGTTGGGCTCATGAAATGCAAAATGAGCTGAAATATAAAAGTTTGAAGTTTTGACAAAATGCGAAAAAGACGCTAAAAACATGAAAAACTCTAAATTCTGTGAAGAACGGTTTCCAATCAATAAAATATTGTTTTCTAGACGTTTTTCAAGTCAAAAAGAAAGAAATAAAGGTCGTAAACTCGAATTGAACTGCATTTTTAGACCTGCAAATTTTCAAAAGTTACAACGACACTCTGTAATTTACGAGCGCACTGTGTTTAGCATTAACGCCCTGGGAGACCGTGCCTTCACCCTGGTAATTTCTCTTTCTCTTTGTGTGACCTTTTCTCTTCCTCACTGTGACCGAGCACAATCACACATTTGCCCCAGTTGTGGAAGGGTGATGAGAGTAGAGCCTCTGTGAGCAGCGTAACAGTATACTAGCTTTTATAATGTAGATTTATTGAAATTAGTTTGATTTCAGCTATTTATTGTTGAATTGTTTATTTTCAGTTTGTTGTGAGTCCAAGATGGGAAGCGATTTGAACAAGGTATTTATTTCTGTTTTTTTTTTCATTTTAAAAGGAAATTTTTAGAGTTCTTCATCGTCTAGCAGCAAGGATCACTCGTTCGAATTATTGGAAGCTCTGCCGGCGTTCAAACATGACATGATGCTAACGGATATAAACGACGCTGGTCTCAAGCATGTGAGTTATTATTAATATTATTATAGCAGTTTTTTGTAATTTTTCCTTGTTATTTCTAATCCTATGCTTTCAGATCGGCGGCATTACGGGAATTGAAAACTTAAGTATTGGATCGTTCTCATCTCCAGCATTTCCGGTGGAGGGTCTTGTTTACGGACCAAACAATCGACTAATGGTGGCCCTGAATTGTCGTCGTGCCAAGAAGCCTGATGCGCCGATCATCAAAGTTTGGTTTTTAGTTGATACTGGATCGAATTGCACGTTTCTTGACGAAACAACTATTAGCAAGCTTACCGGCTCCGACGCGATTCCGTCGGCTCTTCACGTCGCCATTCAGGTTTAGTTTTTCTACTTTCAACTTTATGATTATTCTTTTTCTGATTCAAATTTCTCATTTTAGGATCCAAATTCGGTTATCGAATGCGACCTCTCGCACAGTCATTTTAAGGAAGCTAACGTGTTGGGAATGTTGGCTATGCGTAAAATGAACTTGACGATCAACAGCATGAATTGGACTGAAGAGACTTGGCGCCTTGTGAAACAATAATGACATTGCATTGCTTTTTAATTGATAAATAAAGTATTTCTATTCAAATTATTTTTGAAGTATAAAAAAAAGTTGAAGCTAATAGAAATATTTCTCTTTTTTATTATTTATTTCCAGGGCAAATGAATGATGGAGTGTGCTATTGTAAAATATAGTATATTTTCAGCAATTTAGCCATAAAATTATACATTTAGATATCTAAATTTCTAACGCACCTTTTCGACCATTTCGACCACATTTTTAAAGTAACGCATTTCGACCTTTTGACCATTTTTGAAAATTGTCTAAAATGACACATTTTCGAAGAGAAGAATGATGATTCTGATTCTGATGATGCAGCTGATACTAATAGTAATTAAAATAGGCAACGTTTATAATTCTCGTCGCGCGCTGGTTTTCCATTTTCAATTTCTCGAATTCTCGGAGGAGAAGTTCTGCTTGTGCAACAGTCAGATTCAACTCGTTTTTAGTTTTTATCACGTCTTCATTCACAAGCTGCATGATTGATTGACTATTCGCAATTTGACTATTCGCAATCTGAAATGGATACCATAAATCAGGCTTGTCGTGGGTCGGCTGATAGAAGACAGGTATTCTAAGCAAATCAATTTCGAGGAATTACTCGAGTAATCTCTAGAATAAACCTATTTAACCGAGTGCAAGAACTGTCTTTTTTCTTTAAAAAAATTTTACTCTTCTCAGGCCGAACCGATGGTGAAGCCATGTGTACTCAGACGACTCAATTTGAATCTAATTAAAACAAATTAGACAAAACCTCGTCTAAGATCTAATTAGATAATTTTAGTTTCTAACGCAACCTCTTTAGATTCGAATTGAGTTGTCTGAGTATGTTTCAGCCCTCTAAGAACCATCACCAAACCTGTTCGTCGCCGAGAAAGCATTTCATATCCATTTCATCATATTCTGGCAAAGGAATAGTTGTTGCCGAGAATTCCGATGAATTTTTAACGATGAGTTCACGAAGCTGCGCATTGATGAATCTTATAGCTTCAAGCACATTAACTACCGCTCCAGAGTTGTTCATCCTAAAAAAATTTTTCAATTTTTTTAATCGGCATGAATTATGTCAGAATAGCGTTGCTGAAACGAACATTTCTAATGAAATAAGAGCTTTCTGCAGTTTTCGAGTGATGTTTACTATTTCTTTTTTTGAGTTCCTCACACTCGCTTCTTCTTTCGCGCACTTGGAATGGTCATTGCCATTTTCTGCTGAAAATTGAACGACTTTTTTGTTGTTGCTGTTTGAAATTACCACAACAAGCTGGATTGCTTTTATCTCGATACTCATGGGTGAATATTTGAAATTGGTTCGTTCGAAAATCATTTCGATCAACGGTCCTATTGACATCATTTGATCCGAAATCTTCCAAGAACTCAGCCATCTGATACAACGAAGTACAACTATAAACTGCACAGCTTGAATGAAAAGTACACTGTAAGCGATTTTACATAACGAGCTTCAGAATGAAATACGTTTTGCATAGCTTGTTTATTGTTAATAACTTATTATTGATAATTATTGATAATAACAAAAAATTCGAAAATCACAACATTGAATAGCATCGATCAAATCCTGTCAAATAATTACGGAAAGTTCTTCTTTACACCTTCAGGTACATTAGTTCGATAATCAAACGAGTTTAAAAAATTCTGAACGAACTGGACCTTAGTGTAATTACCAAAGTTTATGAATTTTAGGAAGTTGAGAACGAAATCAAAGCAGTTCCAATTCCAGTCATCGTAGTTCTGAAATGCTGAACGTATCAGCATAGTAGGTATACCTGCTTACTCTATAATTATACTCGGATGAGTAAAGTTGCAAAAATGAGATCAACGAGCTATCAAACCATTCTGAATTATTGAAGAAAAAAGGAAGTAGTCCGCAAACAACTATGGAATCTGCCCAATTATCGCCTAAAAATGTTCATGAATTATTATAGAAAACTGAATATGAACCAACTTTCGGACAACACGCCATGATTCCAAAATGAATGTACAACAGTGAAGGAATCCGAAATCCCGATATGCAAATCATCACCATTTATATACCTAAAGCAATCAAATTGACGATCGTAATAATAAGCAGGCCGATGGAACACTTCTGCCAAATTTTTTGTAGTAGTGGCATTCCCATTTCTCTGGAAACTTGATTGCAATCTAATTAGAAGAGTTTGCAATCTAATAAGAAAAAACCCTATTTCGCAATCTAATCAGATTTAATTGAAGTTCCAGTAAAATCGTATTAGATTACAATATATTTTTTCTGAATTGCAATCTAATAAGAAAAAATTGCAATCTAATAAGAAAAAATTGCAATCTAATAAGAAAAAATTGCAATCTAATTAGAAAACATTGCAGTGATTGCAATCTAATTAGAAGATTTTGCAATCTAATTGAAGCAAATTCTATTTCAAACGAGTTCGTATTAGATTGCAAAGTTTTCTAATTAGATTGCGATCGAGTTCCCAGAGAGTTCCCAGATACAGTATTTATGGGGTTATTCAGGCTGTGAAAAAATATTGTTTCCCGTTTTTTTTTCGTTTTTTTTTACGTAAAAAAAATCCAATTCAGCGATGAAACGACGATGAAGCGACGAAAAAACGGAAAACAAACTAATAACACTCCGGTCTAGGCTGGTCGAACAGGCGCCTCATGAAAAAAACAGGCGCCTGTTTTTTTCATGAGGCGCTGCGGCCCTACGTTGAGAAAATAGGCGCCTGAAATCGCCTGTTCGACCAGCCTACTCCGGTCAAACGTTACTAGATTCTGTTTAGATTGCAAAATCATTTAGCTAGGTTCAGAATCGGATTGCGATAATTTTTATCTGGATTAAAAACTATCTATTTCAAGACAATTCTATTCTGAGACAAGTTCTATTCCGAAGTTTCATCGAGCAGTCCGTACTGCAGTATCATGATGAAAACTTTACTTACTGTTCGTTTAAGTGGAAATTTGGAATAACAATATTAGCTGAAAATTCAAAATTAAATTTACTTACTTCTGAAAATTTCCGGTTGACGTCTTGATAATAACTGCACATCCGGTGATAGACTGTCTAGAGTGCAAATAGTTAGGCGGCTCCTCCAGCATTGTTGGCAGAGTAAGAAACATGTAATAACAAACAACTGCACGTCGTTTTTTGTTCACGGTCAACCCTTTCTATCAACAATTATTTTCGAAGAAGGGGGAGGCCTCCTCCGGAGGTATGGAACTTGGGCAACTAGAAAAAAAGGTAGCTTCCAAATAATGCGCGCAACGTAGTTAAATCAAATATTTATATCGATTTACGTGGGCATTTGAGTACACGTTAACTAATATGGGCGGTGTTTGCGCTTACAAACGGAGTGGTTAAAATCTTCCCATGTTCTTATTTTAGGGGCACTGCACAGAAATGGCGCTCTGTTGAGAAGCTCTTTTTGCTGTGCAAATTGAGCGACCTCGGGCCGAGTTTGAAAGTTAGGCCACATTTTCAGTGGAAAATTACTTCGAAGCCTAGAAATTCGGTCATATTGCGGACAGAGCGCATACTGGGTTGCATTTTTCACGCACGTGGTTAGAGCTGAGAAAAAGAGAACGTTTCATAATGGTATATCGGGAAATCGTGTGCATACAATATATTTATGTACTTTAAAAAAAACACTATTTTCTTTTTCGAACGACTGTTCGTTTGATAGACTGGTTGCTCGCCTGAAAGGAGGCGTTCTTATTGCTATCTTGCGAACCAGAAATGCACTCCGATTTTTTCCGAATACTCGCGATAGTATCTGAAATTGTTTTCTGAGATCATATGGATACAAGAATAAATATTACTACTGCTTCCAGGCTTCGATGAGCTCGAATCTGGTATCCCGGAAGAAGCAAGAGCTGCGCCAGTTCCATCACTGAGATGAACAAGATATTGCTGAATATACAAACATTACTGTCATAACTTATAAGAGTCTGTTCTGAGTCTCACCAGGCTTTCTATATTCACATTTGGATCTGTAACATTCTCCAATTGCAAGGGAGTATCTTGGATCATTATGGGATAAAGTTCCATCCCGCTCTCAGCTGAAAACATTTTTAATCTTTGTCATTATTAGAAGTCTCATGTATATTATATATTATTAACTACTAACTCTCCATGGCGGCATAGTGTTGTTTTGAAGTGGGATCAACATAAATTTGCATCTGCTGTTGCTGCTCTAATGCTATTGCGCCTATTGGAACGTCGTGGCTTGTTGACTCTGACAGTTTCGTGGGGATATCTTTCTGCCTGTTATTTTTTCGGAAGACATGGTCCTTGTTCTGTAGTCCATCTACAAATGGCGCACGTATGCCCTATAATTAAAACATTCGACAATTTTTATATAAAAATAGAAACAACTAGCCTCATTGACCAAATCACGATTATCATTATGTACGGTTTCTGAATGTACATTTAGAGTGCCAGTTTGCTCGTTCCATTCATCGGAAAATGGCGCATTTTTCACTACTTCGCTGCCGTTGATTACGTACTGCGTTTCCGTACCTGAAAAGTGCGCAAACTTTTCAAAAGTTTCCATTCTAGGTGTACTCCAGTCAGGGTGAGCTCTCGAGACTTAACACTTAAGACACCGTCGAGATTAATTGAGAAGTGTGTACACAAGCACTGCAAACAAGCAAAATGTTTCCGATTGTGTAGAAAATACGTTCTACGATTCCAACTTCAGAAAAAGCGGTTTTCATCACTTCTCGCTTTTTAGTCTCCAGATTTCTCGGTTTCGAGACTCTCGTAGACGAGAATTCCCGAAAGTTTACGTCTTCTCTGGCAATTCGATATTAATCTAATTAGAAAGTTACTGATCTAAACGCGACCTAATTAGATTCGACTGTTTTTTCTTGCCGCAATCGAGATTTGAGCCAGCAGACTGTTGGCGTGAAACTTGATTTGAGCACTTATTAATCTAGCTAGAAGATTTATTAATCTAGCTAGACAATTTATAAATCTAATTAGGTGTCATATCAATATTATTAGGCCGCCGTAAGATTAATAACGAAATGTCTGTTTTAGTCTCGAGAGCCCAACCTTACTGAATGTTTCGTTGATTGTTTTATTTTTGTTTTTTGGTTTTGTTTGATTTTGTTTTAATACGAATAAAAAACTCACATCTTCTTCCCTGTTCTGTATCAAAAAACAGAGGTTTCACCGGAGCATCTTCCATGAATTGCTTTGGCCGAGAATAATTTGAATGAGTCCTGTGTATTGGGCCTGTGATTTTGTGAGCTTGACGGTATTTCATGAGAAATATTTTCATAGGCTCTGCATAATTATCGAAACCAGTTGCTTCGAGAGCAGTCAACAAGTCATCAGCAGTTATGGTCTTTCTTTTTGTATTATGACAGAACTCGGCTGCCTCCGAAGCAATAAAACTAATGAATTCGGAAACGCATTCTTGCACACATTCTTTCGCGTCTTTAGCTAATTTTGCTTGCGGATCCATCTGAGTTTTCATTATTCGAACGACATTAGCTAAACAAAGAGTAGAAAAGCAATTTTTTCAATACGGTATATTTACCTATAGGAAGATAGCGCTCTTGATCGAGTAATACAGCGGGAGTTTTCGCATCGAATGTGCCACCGCTGGATAGCATAGCTTCACTGATCAAGTCATTGTCATCTAGATCGTCTTGGTCCATTACTGAAGTAGATTCTACTTTGCTTGTTTCAAGAGATACCTCTGGAAGCGGATACAATTGAATGTATCTTCGATGAAGCGAGACTATTCCTGATGATGCCCGTTTCTGGCTTACAGCTATCAGATAACGTGCTCTCCGCTGATAACATCTACATATCGTTTTTATTTTAATATTGCAGAGAAGATAAGTATAAAATAGACAGAACTAATGTTTCAGAATTGCTTTCAGACATAGTTCATTTATTATTCAAACTAATTCATTGAGATTTTCTTACAACGGAACATTAAACCGCAACAAACTTGAAATGTCAATTAGGAGCTTTTGGCGTTCTGGATTGCGGCAGAAGGTCCGAGAAGCATTTGGCGCTGCTGAGCAACTTGTGTCTTTTCAAGATCACTCCTTTCTTTTTCGATAATATAGGGCAGGAAGGCGATGAGAGATGTCGTGGAGATGATCCAAACTGCATTTTTTGTTACATTGAGCTGAAACATAGATTTAAAGTAAAGTTTGAAGCAGACCTGCTGCCATACCACTCCTCTAATTCCCCATTTGGACCAAGATACGCCCGATGAAACAGCCGAACAAAGACTATCCGGAAACATGTCTCCTAGACCTGAACGCAAAAGAGCAGGAAAAATTTATCAAGAGCATATTTTGAAAAGTACCTTCAATTCTTTCAAGAAGAGTTTCTTGAATTTCTGAGTCAGGAATTTCGTCAAACTCGTCTCTGACAACCGCCATCTGCATTACACTATGTTTTTTATATATAAAAATTTGCTGCTTAAATAAAGTATTGGTTGGTAACCGGATAACATTCCCGAACTATTTTCCATCAAACAACTTTAATATGAAAAAACCAACAATTATAACAAATAATAAGTAAAAAAAAACAGACAACGATTTGAAAATTAAAATGTTTTATCTTTTCGCCAGCATCTTCTTACGCTTATTTTTCACCGATTTGGCTCCAGTACGAGCGGCCGCTCTCTTCGGAACTTTCGACTTGAAAATTGTTGGTTTCTTTCCTTTCTTAATATTTCCAATCTTCAAAAAAACATTCAGGTTTGTGATTCGAATGTTATCCTTACTGTGTCGAATCCGTCATTGGTCTTAAGAGCTTCTTGTTTAGTTTGAGCTTTTTTTTGATTACGACGTTTTTTGTTGGCACGAGCACCTAATCCGATATTTCTCACTGAAATTTAAAAAAGGATAGAAGAACTATGGGAAAATTACCATGAGAAAAATCTTCATCAGAATCTTCGTGCCTTTCGTTTTTTTTCAACATTGAATTTCCCGCCGATTTTTGAGGGTCGACAGTCTCTCTTTCAGCGTTCTTCTCATTCTTTTTCTGTGAAGCACGCTCCTTGTCTCTCTGAAATCCAATCCCACTCATCAAATCCAATCCCACTCATCATTCTTATTTAATAAAAAGCTAGCTGGCTCAGGCAAATCGTTTGTAATCTAGCTAGGAGATTTCGTAATCTACACCGAGTCGAGAGTATTTCTAACCGGACCTAATTAGATTGCACTATCACCTAATTAGATTTGCAAATCGGCTAATTAGATTAACAAGTTTCCTAACTAGATTCGGATATCTCCTAATTAGATTTGGCCATATTTTCAAAATTCTCGTTAAAAATCGACAAATTTATTGGAAAAACAACAACAAATAAGAGTTTAACAGAATAAAAAGTAAAAAATTAAAAAATTAGAAGAAAATTTCGACTTTGACGGTGAAAATGTGCTCGCGTCAGCCTCTCACTCCTCTACACTCCTCTCGCTCTCTTCAATTCTTTCTTGCTCGTCGAACGACTGTGGTTGCTGAAAGCAGAAAAGTCCGTGTTATACGTGCTCCGGGAAACATACAAAATGTTTGCGAGATGCAGTTTGAAAAGAATCGCAATATTTTCGCCGATCGTCTGTTCATCGGCGTTTTTCACCTTCAGAACTTTGGCGAGCAGGCCTGGAAACAATGAAGTATAACGGTCTCTGGTTTTGTAAAACTGACCGGCTGGAGCGTTCAGCATTTCCGCCGGAATTGTCTTGTTCGGTTCCTGCGGTTTCAGTGAGACTGACCACTTGGATCGTTCGTGGTCCTGCATAATCTGAACAATATGGAATTTGAAAACGTTGCATGGATTGCACACAAACCTCATTAATCCAATGGTTTCCAACGAGATGAACGACGTTACGCAGGGTTCCGCGTTGTACGGAAAGCTTCGCAAGAGTTTCGTTAACATCAATTTCTCCTGCAATGAACCGTTGTTCTCGATATGCATGCGGAGAAAAATCTACCGGATTTGTCAAGAGTTTTGACCACGATACGCTGAATAGAGAGAAATTTTGTCGGATCGAGAGTGGTGATCAGTTCGGACGACGGCAGACTCGGTTTTTTCGGAGTTTGCCGCTCTCGTTCAATCATCATCTGTAAGAAAAGATTTAGCTGCATGCTTATCTAACAGAACATGCTATTTGCATCAATCCTCGCATTCCAAGAGCAATCGCTTTCACTTCCGAACTTCCTTTATCACACGCAGTTTCATTTCGTTATTAAAAAACTTTCAAAAAACTACAAACTTCTCTCGTCGTATTTCATCGTATCCTCCAAAATCGCCTTATTTTTTCCTTCCGTGTAGCAGTCTTCTTCGAATTCTGCTTGGAAATCTTCTTCTGAATCAGTGCCCGAATCGGAACGTTGGGACGAAGTGTCGGATGAACATGAGGAATCAATCGTAGAATTTATGTTTTCATGCGATGTTTCTGCACGAGATTCTGTCGGTTGACTCATGCACGTGCGGAGAACGGATCGAGTTGTTATTTTCACACGTGGCATGATTGCCGTCTGAAACAGACACATTTCTGCACAAAAATGTAAAAATCACAGTATAACAGCTCAAAGAAACGTTCGAAATCGACCGAAAACGGTGTGGTTTCCCACGTTCTGTTCAAATTCCCGTCAATCTAATTAGGTTGACTTTAGATTCGGATTTTTTCTAATTAGATTAGCAATTATGTCTGCTGGCGCGATCCGAGATCGCGCCTTCGTTTTTGCAGTCAAATCTAGCTAGGTTTAGTTTAGATTCCGTTTTCACCTAGCTAGATTCGGAACTCGGTTTAGATTACGAAATCTCCTAGCTAGATTACAAACGATTTGCCTGAGGGGTCTGTCCATTTCTCTCTGTTTTTGTCCAGCAACTTTTTCATTTCTAAAAATATTATTGTGACGGCGAAATTGAGAAAAGAACACGTGAACTTTCAAACGGTCTAACAAACAAGCGGCTTTGCCGCTACCGAGCGTTAGCTCGAACCGCGCAGCGGACCCACTTTGATGTCTTGTTATTGATAAAAGTCTAATGGGGTTATTCAGGCTGTGAAAAAATGATTTTTTTTTGTTTTTTTTTCGCTTTTGTTGTATTTGTAACGTCTTCCACCGCGTTGGTAGGGAAGAGTCGTATCAGACAAGAGAGCTTCCGCAAGAGGTTTATTCAGAGAGAGAAACCTTAGCGGGGGCTAGCAGATATAGAATGTATGGAATATCGAGAGGGTTCGTCCTCAGAGGGAGGGCGACCCGAATGATGACAAATGAACGAGAATAATGCATAACCTAGCGGTAGATCACAGGCAGATCACTTAGCATTATCCTACAAATTCATACGTCTAGAACGACGTAACAGTTTACGTCAAAAAACCCAATTCAGCGATGTAAAAAAAATGGAAAAAAAACATACTCTGAATAGCCCCATAAAGAGGTATGTCCCTTTGTTTATTTATTTATTTACGAGACGTTTTAAAACATTTACCCGCTTCGCCTACTCAGAACCGTTAAGAATTCACGTGTCCATATCATAATTTCTCTACTTTTTCGTTTCAAAGTCGGCTTGTTTTTTATTATAAGGGACACGGAAGTGAAGAGGGATAAACCAATTCTTACTGAATTTACTGTTTTTCGTTCAAAAAGGAAATCACGAACCTCCATAAATTCGTGTTTGCTCATCTTCACATTGGACAGCTTCTTGATTTTAGCCACATAAAATCCATCAATATTATGAACATGTGGGTAGTACCTCTTGGTCATTGATAAAGACGGATGGAACCGATAATCACGGAAGCGAGTGAAGCCATCTACACCTATCGGAAGACCAGTTGGAACAAGTTCACAATGACGTCTTTCGAGTAGGAAATTGACAACCGCCTCGTTTTCCTCAACCAAAACGGAGCAGGTCGAGTATACAAGATATCCGCCATTAGGAGAGTTAGCATCTAAAGAATCAAGTGCAGAGAGAATTAGTTGTCTCTGAACAGTGTGTCGTCTCTGAATATCCTGGCTATCCTTGCTTGTTTTGACAGACTGATCTTTCCAAATAACTCCTGTTCCCGAACATGGTGCGTCGAGTAGAATTCTATCAAATCCATTTGGACGAATCTTGCAAAATTCTTCTCCACCCAAGTTGCACACAACCGCATTGTTCACACCGAGGCGGTGCAGGTTCCCGATAATTGCACGGCAACGATCAAACTGCAATGAAAATGTCAAATTCAGATTAATAGAAAATTGTGGAACTAACACTAGCATCATTCGCGAAAAGTACTCCACTGTTCTTCATAAGGGCAGCAATGTGAGAGGTTTTTCCACCTGGGGCTGAGCACATGTCGAGGACACGATCTCCCGGCTGAGGAGCTAAAGCCATCACCGGTAGAAGCGAGTTCAGACCCTGGATCATGTAGTGACCCGCCAAGTACTCGGGAGTTGCACCTGCATAATGCATGCATTAAAGTAAACTTTAAGTGAAAACACATACCAACAGGAACCTGTGAATCATACACAACCAGTCCGCCTTTAGTCCAGTCGGCAGCGGGGTCCACATTCATGCCACGGTTGATCAGATTTTTGGCGAGATCGCGTCTAAATAAGGCATATCATAGGTACGCGACGTTTGAGAAACGCCAAAACATTTTTTCGGTCTGGCGGTTGGATTAAAATTTCCGACTCTAGTGCTCGTATCAGGTAGGCTAGTGGGTTCCAATGAGTGGAAACTGAACGAATATGACCCATAGAAGTAGTTTAGACAGTTGAAGCAACTTAGCAACATGCTACAGTCCGGGTAAAGTCAGAAATGTCTAGATTGCGGCGCCATAAAGACACTCCTGCAATCTGGACATTAGTGATTCTAGTTCTCGTATTAGGTAGTCTAGTGGGTTCAAATAAATAGAAACTGAACGAATATGACCCATAGAAGTTATTTAAACAGTTGAAGCAACCTGCTACGGTCCGGGTGAAATTTCGTGACCTACCTTTTCACTTTTAAAGAATTGGCTCGGATGGTCACTGGTCTGGGATTATCGTTTGCGTCGAGAAACTCGAGCAATTCAGCTCCGTTCGGGAAAAGATTCATGAATTTTCCCATCAGAAAGTCATTATAACCGTACTGAGTACACAGATCTTTTTTCAGAACGTCGACATATTGTAGGCGGCTTTTAGTAGGATCCCTCCGAGTTTTAAAATCTCCCAGTACTTGCATTACGTCGGAGATTCTCTGTTTGACGATTTCCAGATTAGGAACAGACTTGATTTCATCTTCAATCTGTTCCACCGTCGGAAGAACAAAGGTTTCCTGATTCGCAATGTTCAGACGCAGCTCCTGTTCGCCTTCCTCCCTAATCAAACAAAAAAACCAATATTTTTCACAGCAAAAAAAAACATACCGAATCTTGGCATTAATTTTGTCCAGCGCTTTAGACTTCTTTTCGATAGGCAAATCATCACCAGTCTCTATCGAATCGTCTATAAAACAAAGTTTTTTAGCGTGAACATCACCAACAGGTGAATATTTTGTTTACCATCGCTATAATCGTCCCTTAGTTGATCGTCTGATTCGTTTCCAATGTTCTTTTGTATGAGTTGGTAACAAAGTAATTCTGTAAAATCCAAGTATTAAAAACTGACGTTTGCAAAATACCGTTTGATTGGGTCCTCCAAATTTGTTTTCGCTGTTACTTTACCAATCATAGGGTTGAAAGAGAGAATGACGCCAGTTTTGCACGTCTAGTGAAACAAGAGACATTTGCAAAACCACACTGACAGCTCACCTTTTTGGAAAAAGCTACAGAAGCGAGCCCTTCAAGTTGATAGTGCGCTGTAGTTCTTTGTACGAACAATGGAACGCGCGGCGTGTTTGTGGAAGCTTCTAGTGGGCTAAATTCTTCTCCTAACCAAATTTTCCATAGGAGGTTGCCGTCATTACTGTCGATTCCAAAAACTGTTCCGTCCGTGGTTGCGACAATAATGACTTTTCTTAGGTTGAAGTAGTCTCGTTCGAATAGAGCCGAGTTCCCCCTAAAATGTTAAAAAAATAACGCATCATTGAAAAAATCTTCTCAGATTAAATTACATTGAATTTGAAACAGTACGGACTGATTGAACAAAGTCTGACAAGCCATTTCCTTGATTAGACAAGGAAGAACCAATAAGTTATATCTTTTCTGATTTCGAGACCAACCGACAGAGTTGACCAAATTGAACTTGTATACGACGCATGAAAGCAGCAATAATATTCTCTGAAAACTTGAACTGTTTTAAGCAATTTCTTCAGCAAACAAACTTTCTCCTTCTTCGAATTCATCCTCAATCATTTGCTGACTTTCAGACAGCGGTAAATCAACCATCTCTACAGATGCTGTATTTATGAGAGATTCTGAATAATTTAGTCACAGTGAGATGTATAGTTTTTGTTATTATAGGGGCACCGAACAGAAATGGCGATCTGTTGAGAAACTCTTATTGCAGTACAAATTGAGCGACCTCGGGGCCGAGTTTGAAAAATTAGGCCACATTTTCAGTGGATAATTACTTCGCGGCCTAGAAATTCAGCCAGATTGCGAACAGCGCGCCCTTTCTCTCCAGAGCCTCTATAATAAACCTTCTTTAGCCCATTGAAGAGCTGTTTTTTTAGTGGACACATCCACACTCAGCATTTCTACTCGACAATCATTTCCAACAATAATGATTTCATATTCGTTGATACTTCGTCGCCCAAACGTTACAAAGATAAGCTTCGGGGAATGTGACAAATCCTCAGTGGGAAGAGGCGAGACATAGTCGGTATCTGACGAGATCACGCGAACATCCGTTTGCGACAGTAAGACGACTGATTCGTGGTTTTCCACAATTCCCAATGTAAATGGCATTGCTAAGGGAACTGTCTTTACCACTTGAGCTCTTTTGTCGAAAATCTCCAGCAGACTGAGTTCATATGCTCCTTGAACAACAATCAGCTTTTCCGAGCTGAGAATGCGTTTAATAACAAAGGCTACTTCAGCTCTGATAATTTTTGAATTGAAAATGTCCGCAATGATAATGGATTTTCCTTCAAAACACATAACGTACGAACGCTGTTGATGACATCTGCAACTCATTTTAGAACAATTCCAATTAAGATAATGACAAAGAAACTCGTTTTGCAGTGCAAATTGAGTGACCCGGGGCCGAGTTTGGAAAGTTAGGCCACGTTTTCAGTGGAAAATTACTTCGCGGCTTAGAAATTCGGCCAGATTGCGAACAGAGCACGCTTTCTTTCCGGTGCCTCCATAATAACAAACTTTAGGATAACAAGGTGAACTTCGTGACTGGAAGAAAACCAATATTCACGGTAGTCAGGAACGCTTCGTTTGTCGAGGAAAATCAAAACCCATAGATTCTGTGGGGAAGTTAAATTCGTAGAGTTACCATTTTTCGAAACGAGAAGAGAAGATGGTATTTCATTTCTCTAGAGATGCGTTTCACCACTTGTGCGTTGTTCAGGAGTAGCTGTTCGAGACGCTACTAAGAAGAAGATCAGAGGGAGGAAAAGTAGTTTACGAGCCTGACCATGACGATGATATCGACGACAGCGATCCAGATGACGACCTCACATTATAAATGTTATTCCACTTGCTATTTTAAATTTAAGTATTATAGGGGATTCAGTTAGAAAGGGCGCTCTGTTGAGAAACTCGTTTTGCAGTGCAAATTGAGTGACCCCGGGCCGAGTTTGAAAAGTAAGGCCACGTTTTCAGTGGAAAATTACTTTGCGGCCTAGAAATTCGGTCAGATTGCGAACAGAGCACGATTTCTTTCCGGTGCCTCCATAATACTTCGCGGTCTAGAAATTCGGCCAGATTGCGAACAGAGCACTCTTTCTTTCCGGTGCCCCCATAATATTAAGTCACAAGACTCAACTGGTGGCTAACGCCGCCGTTAGTCTTGTGTCGGCGTCTTCGCCTTCGGCTCCTCTCTCCCCGTGGCTCAGACCGAGCTGACGCTCGGAAGCGGCTCCGTCGCTCACTATTTTGCTCTAACCGTTAAAGAGTTCACGTGTCCATTTGTTAATTTCTCCCTTTCCAACTTCTCGCCAGTTGAGTCGTGTGATGATGATATTTATGAATGATGATTTTTTATAACCTCGTGTTTGTTGTTCACGTCAAGTAACTTTGTAGTTCTTCTTACTGAGTAAAACATTTATTTCACAAACTGATCATGGTTTATTTATCGAACGAAATATTACGTTTTGTAGCAGAAGTTATGTAGTTAAGTAGCAGAAGGCGGAAGATTGCTTGAATGAGGTGCGAGTACCATTTTCTTGTCCCGGAGAGTATCAAGTAGCAGCCAACAAGCTACGGGATTCTGAAACAAGATCGTTAAGGTTAGGCTTACTGTCAATTAAGTGTCAATTACAGTGTGAGTCTTGTTTCCACGGTGTTTGCGGTGTTTGCGGACTCCTGATGTCAACGTTCCGTTACCGCCAACCACCGCCTCTTCGCCGTTCAAAATTGCCAATTTGGGCCCACCCAATTCCGACAAAATTCAGTGCGCCAGTTATTCATTTTGGTCAAAAACAGGAGTGAAAAATCATTGAAATTGGCACAAAATAATTCAGACTTGCAACGGGCGGGCCGGGCCGGGCCAAAATTGGAAATTCTCCGGCCCGGCCCGGCCCGGTTGGCCCGGGAGATTCAAAAATTTGTGTTTGTAAAAAAAAATTCCCGAAAATAAAAAAAAATTTCGAAAATTTTGTTTTAAAGTTAGCTTAAGCGTGCAATTGCAACCCTAGAACCGACTTTTCGCAAGTTTCTCGAGCTTTCAAAGACTTTTCCGCGCGTGTTTTCCACTTTTTCGCTACAAAAATTGGTTTGAGGTGTACTTCCGGGCCGACCGGGCCGACGATTTGCTGGCCGGCCAAAACCGGGCCGGGCCGGGCCGGCCCGGATTTGGCAAGTCTGAAATAATTTAAGCCAAATTGGCAGCTTCGGACAAAGGAGTTGGCGGTTGCGATTGACAACAGGAGCTAACGTATGATGCGCTGGTGGCTTAGTGGGAAAAAAACGCGGCGCGGGTTCGGTTTTGTCCGGTCCGTCTTTCTTTCTGCTGCCCTCAGCGAGAGACAGACAGACGCCTTTTGTGTTTTATATATAAGAAAGATTTTTGAAAATGTCATCTCTAAAAGTCACACTGAATGCCAGAAATACGACCAACTGTTATTGTAGGAGCACCGGTTAGAAATTGCGCTCTGTTGAGAAACTCGTTTTGCAGTGCAAATTGAGTGACCCCGGGCCGAGTTTAAAAGCTAGGCCACGTTTTCAGTGGAAAATTACTTCGCGACCCAGAAATTCGGCCAGATTGCGAACAGAGTGCCCTTTCTTTCCGGTACCCCACAATATTAACTCTCCATTTTTTTCAAGAAAAAATTAGGTGTTTTTTCCTGAAAATTTGCGAGAATTCATTCACCACTGGTTGTTCCCGGTCGGGTTTGAAGTGAGACGTTGCTGCGCGCACTCCCCACCTGGAGTACAACGAATCCTGCAAACAATGTACCATATTTCGAGGGCTACAAGTTAACTTACTCTGGTGTCATAAATGGGTTTTGGAGCTCCCCACAACGTAGGGGGCGCAGGGAAGTTCTGAGCTGCCGTATGAGTTAAGCTAGCTGGAATGTGAAATTAGTAAATTTTCTCCTTTTTTAGAAATCTTAAAGTACCGGTAGGCATAGCTCCACTCTCATTTCCGCTTACCATACCACGCATGAACAATTCCGATGTAGCAGGATTGTCGCCTGAAAAACGATAATCACATTACTCGCAATTCAACATTCTTGCCTTCTTGGTGCTCGCTTACTCCAGCCTGATTTGAGAACATTGAGATTTCAGAAAAAGCCCCTACACGGCGAACATTTGTGAACATGGTTTGAATTTCTCGCCCATATTTTATCGCTGCGTAGAGACTCTCCCGCGTGCTAAATGGGTACGGTTTGCAATACGGAGTGATAAAAACGGTTCCGAGCATCTTTCTTATATATCTTTCTTATATATAAAAGAGGCGTCTGTCTAACTTTTTTCTTGCAAGAGGCATCTGTCTGTCTTTTCGGATGTCCAGCGAGAGCAGCAGAAAGAACGACGGACCAGACAAAACCGAACCCCCATCGCGTGCGCCGCAGGCGCGCCTTTTGCGAATTGCAACTCTGGAAACTCGATTGCAATCTAATTAGAAGAGTTTGCAATCTAATAAGAAAAAGCTCTATTTCGCAATCTAATAAGATTTAATTGAAGTTCCAGTAAAATCGTATTAGATTACAATATATTTTTCCTGAATTGCAATCTAATAAGAAAAAATTGCAATCTAATTAGAAAACATTGCAGTGATTGCAATCTAATTAGAAGATTTTGCAATCTAATTGAAGCAAATTCTATTTCCAACGAGTTCGTATTAGATTGCAAAGTTTTCTAATTAGATTGCGATCGAGTTCCCAGAGAAATTGCCTCGTTTGAATTGAGCCGGAGAAAAATAATTTGAAAAAAATAGTGCACCTGTTTGACGCACTGCTATTTTTTTAGCAAGTTGTTGACGAGCTGCAGCCGCAGCGAAGCGTTGTTGCATCTCTGCTTGCTCCATTGCTTTAACATGATGCGAAACATAAGCTTCTTGGGACAGTGCATATGCTGCCACAGCTTCGGCTTCTTTTTCGTTCAAAAGCTGAGGAACACCTTTCCGTTGAGTTTTCTGCTGGAATAAGGGTAATACTATAAATTCATACGCTCACAATTACCTGTTTTTTTCTCGCTTCGACCTCCTTTTCCCATTGTTCGAATTGGCTGACGTATGAATTATAGGCATCTGTTCCGATTGATGACCTAGTAGAAGAAGCAAAATGAAAATGAAATTAGCTTGTCAGCACTTATTATTTTCCTTCCATAACTCGAATTGGGCACGGTAGTCTTCGTATTGTTTTTCGAGATCGTCCTCTGACACCTACAATTGTAGGCTACAAAGGGAAAAATTGTTCCTTCGTCATCTATTCGCCCTTTTTTGCACTTTTACGTCTTTTACATCGCCTAAAGCCCCCACTAAAATCTAAATCTTGACTTACGTTCTTCGATGGGTCATTCATGTTTAAAGTGCATATAACGACGTCGGAATTTTGATGCTGAAAGTATTTTTTATACTCTCCACATCGCAAGTTGCAACGAATGGCACGCGAATCTCAACGAACGGTTCACTGAGTCACAGAGTGGACATGAGAGAAAAGGAGACTGGTGACGCATCTTGCGCACACCTGGCGCACTTGGCGCTCAATTGGCGCACTATTTGATTTCTTGAATTTCGCAATTCAAATCTTTTTCTCGTTTTTCTCTTTTAAATCATGTTGAAACGCAGTTTTTTGTGGCAGATTTGTTCCAAAAAAATCAAATTTGAATTTTCAGGACTCGTTGCAATAATTCCCGCAGTTAGAAAGTCGCGACGCCAATGGAAATTGTCGAGCGACGCGGAGTAGCGGTTAGTCTACAAAGAACAGTTATTTTCTTCGCCGAAGAATAATTTCAGGGTTTCCGCATCACTTTATCGGGTCGAATGAGGCTAAAAAAGCGACACTAAGCGACTGGAATCCAGGAATCTCCAGCAACCAACGGAAAACTAATTTTTTGATTGTTGAATGAAGTTCATTGAAAATTTCTTTTGTTTTGTTTTATCACTATATTATTTCACTTCTAAAAGTCTAGAATTCGATCCTTGTAGCCGAAAGATTGCATGCAAATTTCATCTTTAGCAACATTTCAGATTTCTGACGACAACTAGACAAAACAATCGCGCACGTAATCATATTTACGTTTGGTAAAGCTCTCATTCGATTATACAACCACTGATAGTGAAAAAATTCTGGTTTTCACGAATTTTTGCCAGAAATTCACGCTATTCTTGACTGCTTTCGAAATCAGTCGAATTGCATTGATTAGTCATTTATTCCGTTCGTGCATCGTCTCTAATCAGTATATAACGGTTTTCGAGCGTCGCTGTCGTAAAATATCGACGAAATGATTCAAAATAACCTCAAACTTTCAAAATTTTTTCGCAGCGTTACACAATTTCGGCTAAAAAAACTCGACGGCTGCACCGATTTGCCCCAGTCTGTGCTCAAAATGACCGTCTAACTCCCAGCTTCAAAATGTACTGTGACAAAAACGAAAAAATTACGCCGTTCAATTTTTATACGCGGAATTACGCAATTTTTGCCGAAAAATAATTATTTTTAAATTCCCGCGCCCGCGCTGCAAATGCGCTCCAATGACAAACGTCCACGCTGTGACTCAGTGGGTTCGGTTTTGTCTGGCCCGTCTTTCTTTCTGCTGCCCTCGCTGGACATCCAAAAGGACAGACAGACAGACAGACAGACAGACAGACAGACAGACAGACAGACAGACGCCTCTTGTGTTTTATATATAAGAAAGATATATAAGAAAGATTTGAACACGAAACGTTTCTAATTAGGTTCCAAACTGCTGGAATTCCTAAGTAGATCCCAAACAAGCCTAATTAGATCCCAATCCACTCAGGAAAAAAAAGGCGCTATTTCGGCGCCAAAAAACGAAAAGGCGCCGGCGGCTCCACTTCGGCGCCGGCGGCTCCACTTCGGCGCCGACGCGTTTCACCAAAAAGGAAGCGGCGCCGACGCGTAATACGCCAAGAGCATCGCTACTGACGCCACAATTCTCTGGCGCTTTTCTTTTTCACTGTCACATTTTTTCATTTTTTTACAAGTCTTTTCTACTTTGTTCTCATTTAAGTACTTACAGGTATTAGAAAAGGTCAATTTTCGGAGCAGCACATGGCAAAAAGAGAAGCGCCAGCCGTTGGAGACTGGGAAAGGTAATGAATACATCAAATCCGTGCTTCACTCTAATTTTTTTCTGTTTTCAGAATTGTAAAAGAACAGCGAAAATATTCAAGGACGCGTCGATGAAGTGAAGTGATGACGTGAAAGAGCGGAACCCGAGAACTTACGAGACAACGACGTTTCAATGCAAAATCTCGACTTTTTGATAATAGTCTGTTTTTTGATACTTATGTTACAGATTTTCTTCTGTGATCAAGAAAAGTTATTGGAATAACCGTTTTTTGCTACTTTTTACAAACAAAAATCGATTTTCGACCCCGGCTTTCTAGAAAAAAGGCGCCGCACGGCGCCAATTCGGCTCAAAAAAGGCGCCAATTCGGCTCGAAAAGGGCGCCGGCGGCGCCAAAAAAGGCGCCTTTTTTTTCCTGAGCATTTACCTGAGTTCCGAAATTTTCCATTCGGAAAAAACGATTTTCCGAAATTTTTCAAAAAACTGTGCGCCCTTATCGATAAAGGAGAATTTTGTCTATCGAATGAGCACAACGGCTCAACTAGAAACTTAAAAAGAGCGGATTTGATGCCAAAACGCCGAAAATAGTGGAAAAGTCTGTCGAAAACCGATCTCCGAGAAATCTCAATGTTTTTTAAATTTATTAACAGCTCAAAACATTTTGACGACACAAAAAATTCACTTGAACGCAAGGAAATACACTCAAAAATGCATGAAACAACGTTCTGGCCTAAAAGCAAAACTTAGGCCACGTTTTTGGTACCAAAAGTAAACCGTTCGGGACCAACTCTTTTTTGCTGTTCTTTTTTTTTAACAAAAGCTTATAAAATTTAGAAAAAAATTACGTTTGTGATTAAAAATTGTACGTTCCAGTTTTTCAGAAAAATCTGGAAAACCGGTTTTGGCCTAGTAGAACGGCGATTGCCGCGGCCGCGGACGCGTTCTCAGGGACTAGAAACCTCCGCGAGACCCACGCGAAAAATCACCGTGCAGGAGACTGTGTGAATGGAGAAGTTGACGCTAACGTAAATATCAGACACTAATTGGGAGTGAGTGCAAGCGCGCTCCATTGGACGCGGGAAACTTGAAAGCAAATTGGGAAGGGAGAAGTTTTTTTCTCTCTTCTCTGCGCTTCGAGAGAATATGTTTTTCTGCTTCCTCACTTCGAAAAAGGTCCATCAAACAGCCTTCATTCGACAAGATTAGGTTTTTTCGGATTAGTTAGGTCGTTTCGTAGTCGCCGACGAGCCGGCGTCGACGACGACTTGGACACAAAACAATAACAAACGAATTGAAACAGATCGCCCAACGGCTAGCACAAATCTAACATGATTAACGGGGATATTAGCGAACAACAGTAATAGACTACAAGCGAAAAATTCGGCACAGCTAATTTATTAATTTATCTAATTTATTCCTCGTCGGACTCCTCGAGTTCCTCCAGACCTCCACGCGTTCGCATCGTCGACTTGCATCCTTGCGCCTCCGGGATGTCCTTCAGATATCTTTGAAGGCCAGCCATAGATCTCCAACGCCCTCTCGTACGGATCTCCTCCAACGAGTGCCCTTGTGCTCGCAAGTGGTTTGCTCCTCCTCTCCGGAATCCGTGATGCGTCGCTCCTGCTTTCCCGACCAACTTGAGCATCTTCGTCGCCGCCGCCGAAATTGATTGCTTCGTGAGCCTTCTCGAGCCATCCGCGTTTGAGAACACGTATTCGCACGTCCTCTTTTTATTCCTCAATCGCCACCGGCACATCAAGATGTCTGCGTCGCTGCCCGGCGTGTAGTGGAAGAACGACGATCGTCCCAGCCCCATCTGGTCGTTTTTGGCCCTCCTCACGACTACTTCGATCAGATCTCCTGACTGAATGACGTCGTCCCATCTGATCTCCTCCGCCTCTGAAGCTCGAAGCATCACGTGGAACGACAAAATTGCCAACAAGGCATCTCTGTCGCACGTGGGGCTGTTGGATTGCATCGCGATCTTCGTGATCTTCTCGACGTCGTCGATCGTCACCTCTATCGGCTTCTTCTTCACGGGGCACTCCAGCCTGCGTTTCGCCTTTATGACGTCCGCCACAAAAGTCGCTCCGATCCTTGAGATCCCGTCGTTCGCCGCTTGGTAAGCCGCCGAGATCCTCGCCAGAGCGCTGCTTCCGATTTCCGTCGCCCTTTCGAGCAAGTATAGTAGGAAGGACGACTCGTTTTTTGGAAGGTTCTTCTCCTTTATCCATTCACTCCTCCTCTCATTTTCAGCTCGATATGCCTTTGCCGTGGATGTAGCTTTCGAACGATAGGGCATGTCCGTCAACATTTCGACGAGGTGCTGAAGGCCTGGGCCTGCTTGCATCCCGAGTTTCTCGACGTACTGCCGCTTTTCTCCTTCTGCAACAATTCAACATATAACTTCTCTTCCTTTTTGTGGGTGGGCGGGCCGGGGGACTCGTTAATTCCGTAGAATGGCGTTTCGAACCTAAATTTCGCCCCTCTCAGCCGTTCTCTCAATTCGCTTCGGGACCCGCCGCTCCTAAAAATAGCTGCGCCTTGAAAGTTCGCTCGCCGCGCGCGACCTTTTTCTCAGTTTGTCAACGAAAAACATACTATTCTCTCTTCTCTGCGCTTCGAGAGAATATGTTTTTCTGCTTCCTCACTTCGAAAAAGGTCCATCAAACAGCCTTCATTCGACAAGATTAGGTTTTTTCGGATTAGTTAGGTAGAATCAGTGCAAAGCCCGGGGACTATTCCTTACTTGAAATCTAATAGCGCTAGTATGAATTCCGATCTACAAAATTTTGAATTTGTTGCCTCGCAATAGCTGGAACCTTCGCCTGGAATGAATATTCCGTCATTTTTCTCATAGATCAGATAGTCTTTAATTGCCTGAATAAAATCCCCCTTACTGTCCACTAGCGCCTGATAAGATGAGTGGCTTCTCCAAATGGGTGCCACCAATACTCCTTTTAGTCTTTCTTTTCTGGCCACGCCTATGAGTTTTGGGATAAGTATTGGGGGCGGTACCCACCAAGCAGCTCCCATCGATTTTGCTCTCTCAATGTGATCGAACACGTTGACTCCGCTCGTTCCGGGCTCGGGGTATCTGGAAAAAAATGCTCTCGTCTTCCTGTTTTTCGCGTCTGCGAACCAGTCTACTTCCAATCTCCCCCACAACCTCTGTGCTTGAAGAAAGACCCTGTCTTTTATACCCCAATCATCGAAATCAAAATTCCTGCTTGCCTCGTCCGCTTCGCGATTCATCTCTCTCGGGATCCACAGAAAAACGCATTCCCCCACTCTCTCCAGGTTCCCCCACACCTTCTCCGCTATCTCATGTAATTCTGCTTTCATGGAGCCCCTTCTCAGAATACTGACAGCTGCCTGACTGTCCACGAGCACCTGAATGTTCCCCTCTATCGTTCCTGCTAACTTGGTTGTTGCCCACTCTACCGCTCTCAGCTCTCTCATCGCACTCGATTCCTTCTCAAATTCCGCGTCTCCCATCTCTGTCATCTTCCACACAATTTTTCCTTCGTCGCTCCTTTTCAACACCGCCCCGGCTCCTTTCGCCGAAGCGTCCGTGTATAGGCACCAATCAAATTTTACCTCTCTCTCCTCTATCTGCCTTCTCAGCACTTCTTCACCTCTTTGCTCCCAGAAACGTAATTATTTCTCCTCACCTCTCGACTTCCTCTTCCTCGCCGCCGTTGCCTCGTTCTTCCGCTGGGCCTCCCCGACCACCTGCATCATGTGCCTCGCTCTTGCTACTCCAACATCTCCTGCAACGATGTCAAATGATGCCAGGCATCCCAAGAACTTCATTCGGTCCAGGACCGACGGAGCCACGCTCCTCCTCAGCTCCTCCAGAGCGCCTCGCCACGAGGCCATCCTTCTCTCAGTCCCACGGACCTCTCTCGTGATCAGATCACACTTGTATCCTAACCACTTAAACAGTGGCGACGGGGTCCAAAAGGATTTTTCTTCGGCCACACACACGCCTGCCTCTTCTAGGTCTCTTCTAACTACCTCTACCGCCTTTTCCACTTCTGATGCTGTCTCGCCTAGAATGAGCCCGTCGTCTAAGTACAGTATCACTTTCACTCCCCCCTCTCGCCACTTATGAACTAACGGCTTGAATAGTTTTGTAAACAGCCAGGGGGCTGTTGCTAGGCCAAATGGTAACCCCCTAAACAAAAAATATGGTGCCGCCGGTGGGTTAGATAAGGAAAAAGCTAACAGGTCTTGTGAATCTCTATGAATCATGACGTGGTGGTATCCCGATTTGAAGTCAAACGTGGCTGCGAATCTCGCTTTTTCTAGGAAGGGCCACGCCGTTTTTAGGTTTTCAAACTTGAAACGAGGAGGAGGAGCGAGACTCCTGTTGAGTTCACTTAGATCCAGAATCATTCTCTTTTTCTCACCTTGCTCCACCACATGAAGCGGCGACACGCATCTTGGCTGCTCCGCGGACAGGACGAGCACCCGCTGATCGATTAATTTCTCAATTTCTGCAATCACGAATTCTCTATGTTTATTTACTGAAGGTCTCATGCCCTGGGGCTCCGGTAGGACCGTACTCCTATCGAACTGAATCCGAAACCCGGATTGAACTACGCTCAAGATCCAGTCTGTCCTACAATTCCTCTCCCAGAATTCCATGGAGCTCGCTAATCTGTCTGGGAATCCCTCACCTTCTTTGCTCACACTCGGACGCGTAGTGCCCGAATCCGTTGCACCGAAAACATTTGATAGTTTTCTTCTGCTCTCCTGCTCTCGCAGCTCCCCGGCCTCCGTTTTGACGGGTACCACCATGGCCTCTGGCGGCACCCCCATACGGAAACCACCGTCCGCGTTCGAAGTCCGGTTCCATCTTCCGCTTCTTGCTCTCGGATGAGCTTCCGGCCTTGATCGAATTGATCTGGGACAGTAGGAGAAGAGACGTCATGTCCGACTGCGTGCCGTCCCCTCCTCCGGAAATCGCTTTCAACGCCTCCAGCTTTTCCTTCGTTTGGAGCAGCGACGGGTCGGCATCCAACAACATGAGTTCCGCGTTCCTGACCTTTATCATCTCAAGCACTTCTTTCACTCCTTCCTCCAACGTCTCCTCCTCAGCCGCTCTCGCCAGGAGATTCTTGAGCTTGTAATTGAAGTCCAAGTTCTTTTGGATTCCTTTCGATGCAACTCGTGGTGCCTTTTCGTCCTCTTCCTTCTCCTTCTTCTTCTTCTGCGTTCCGATGGCGCTGATCATTCTGCCGACTTCCTTCTTCATTTCGTCACCGAACTCCTGCAGCCACCGCCTGTCCGGATGTTGATCTCCCTGTTGCTGCTCGTCTCCCATTTTCCGTCAAGAAATTCGGGAATCCTAAATTTCTGGTTGACCTTTTTGGAAACGCAAGCAGCAATAAACACTTCAATTTTCCGATTTCTGACGAATTTTTCGCCAACTCTCGGGGAATTGAATTTCAAACAACGTAACTTTGCGAAAATATATCAAACAACGAACGAAAACGACCTCGTTAATTCCGTAGAATGGCGTTTCGAACCTAAATTTCGCCCCTCTCAGCCGTTCTCTCAATTCGCTTCGGGACCCGCCGCTCCTAAAAATAGCTGCGCCTTGAAAGTTCGCTCGCCGCGCGCGACCTTTTTCTCAGTTTGTCAACGAAAAACATACTAATCACTTGTAGTAAATTTTTTGATCGAATGTGATCAACTGATAAAATGTATAGCAAAGTGAACTCTAATCATAAAAAATAATTGTAAATTTAACTTTTCATACAAAAAGGTTATTCGATTTGTTCCGTGAAAAAGGGGGCTAACAGAAGACGGAAGGAAATTTACTGTTAAGCATCTCGTTGTATCGCTATTCGAAATTGGCCCTTTATTGACCGGAAAAAAGGAGAGTTCAGTGAAATCTCCTTCTCCGTTATAGTTTCGGCACTAGTATACGTTTCATTCCCAAGTACTCAGGCCTGGGCGAGTTACCGGTTTCACAGGAAAAAAAACCAACGAAAAACACAAAAGGCGAAGAAGAGGCGATTATCAGGGCGCGCAATCATGGAAACCGGGGAAATGAAGCTCACATCTTGAATGGCCGAAAATTCAGGGAATTGTGAAAAGTAATGTATGGAACCATTGCAGACAACCTCTTCGAGGTGATTCGTATCGTTCTTGGGGAAGACGAGAAGTTTTCCAATAAATTCCGACAATTTTCTGAGCCGTCGTCAAACTTTTCAAGATAATCTCAGACTTTTTCCAGAAATTCTTAAACTTTTCTAAGCAATTCTCAAACTTTTCCAAGAATTTCTTAGGTGGCGCCTGGAAAAGTTTAAAAATAGCTTAAAAAAAAGTTTGAAATTTTACCTTTTTTTCCTTACCTTTCCTGGCTTTTCTCCCTTCCCAATTTGCTTTCAAATTTCCCGCGTCCAATGGAGCGCGCTTGCACTCACTCCCAATTAGTGTCTGATATTTACGTTAGCGTCTTCATCTCTAAAGTTGTTATGACATCTAATGCAAAATTTGTCTCTAGAACTATTCTTACTATTCATCAATCTATCAATGTTTTTAATTAAACAGTAATGTCCCTCTCCAGAATCATCAGTTACTAACAAAAGGTTTATGACTCTATCTAATTTTACCTTGGTATTTTTCGAAACTTTATATGATTCTATTTTAGGGGGACCCTCAACATTATGAGTCAAGATGTTAACAGCTAGATTATTCTTTTTCTCAAAAGCGTCTATATTTTTAATCTGGAAAGGAAATTCAAACCCCTTGAAATCAATTTTATTAACATGCTCTTTGTATTTACTTGTTCTTTCAGGATGTTCTAATACTGGAAACAAATGTGCTAGAACACACCACATAAAACACATGTTATCTTTATTCTGTACATTGATAACTGCTTTCTTATTTTTTATCCAATCTGGTAATTCCATATACTTGGAACCTGAGAGCGGTCTTATTTTAGTTTGGAATACTCTCAATCCTAATATTCTATTCAACCTAAATCCTGAGCCTCTTCCTTGATAGTGTTCTAATCTGTTTATCAAGTCTGCTTTCAGAGATTTCAACCATTCTACTCTATCATCTCTAATATAGAGAGGTTTGTTTTCTGTAGTTAAGTAGGCTATCTGTATCTCTCCCGTTTCTACTGTATTTGGGAAGACTATGGAGAATGTGAGAAATAGAGTTGATGTTAAAGTGGTATCAGATATGGATAAGGTAATGAAACTGGCAGGAAGCAATAATTTCAAACAGAGACATATTATTAATGATAAAATGATTTTAGTTGAAATGGTTCAAAAAAGTATTAAACTAGATAAACCTATTTATGTAGGGATGTCTATTCTAGACTTGAGTAAATATTTAATGTATGAGTTTCATTATGGTATAATGCTTCCAAAATATTCTTCAAATTTGAGACTGTGCTATCAAGATACCGATTCTTATATTTACGAAATTAAAACCGACGATGTTTATGAAGACATGTTGTCTATAAAAGAACATTTTGATTTCTCAGATTACCCAAAAGACAATAAATTACATAGCATTGAAAACAAAAAGGTAATTGGTAAGTTCAAAGATGAGCTAAATGGTAAGATAATGAGAGAGATTGTTGCTTTTAGACCTAAACAGTATGCCTACAAAGTCGATGATGGAACTGAACAAAAGAAAAATAAAGGTATTAAGAAAAATGTTGTTAAAAAGGAAATGACTTTTAAAGATTATAAAAACTGTCTATTCAAAAGAACACTTCAAAGAAGACAGCAAGCATTAATTAATTCTAAGAAGCATGATATTCACTCTGTTAAACAAAGTAAAGCTGTTTTGAATAATGATGTTTGTGCAGACAAAGAAGCTAAAAGATATATTGTTGATAATATAGAGACTTTAGCATTTGAACATTATAGAATAGCCAAGTAAAATTGGTTAGATTTTTATTGTTTGATATTCTATATTGTTTATATTCTATATTGTTTATATTCTATATTGTCTATATATATCGTATATTTTTCTATTATTTCCGGTATTTCTGGAAGAGTATCCCGCATAAACACACCTCTGAAATTCTTAAGTTCTATCTTATTAGCTATTCTCATGATATCAAAGTTTGTAAGAGGTTGCAAATTATTGTTCAACATTTAATAAAACGAAATAATTGTAATTAATTTTAATGAAAATAATGGTGTTTCGCGCTCGGACTGCGTGTGGTCTACTCATAAAATTGAAAAAGCTAAATATTGATAATATATGGCTAAATCTTGAGGAACAAGGGTTGTAAAGGGTAGAAAACAGGGGTTTTTGAACTTTTCAAAAAGTGGGCAAAAAGCTGTCCTAGAGCGGACATTTATATACTACTATCACATTTCGAGAAAAGTGTCAGTTAGCTCAGCTGAAATGCGCTGCTTGCAGCTGCGCATAAAATGTTTTAAGCAGTTATTGCTTTTTTAAAATTCAACGTATCCAGGAAAAATTCTGAAAAAAAATGTTGTTCTCGAACCCTTTACGCATCTACCCTAAAAAAATCAGCCGATGCATTTCGAGTGGAAAAGTTGCTACGAATTTTTGAAGTTTGGAAGTGCAAAACTGGTTTCAGCAGTGCGAGGCGCATGAAAGCAGAAATAATATTCTCTGAAAGATTGAACTATTTTAAGCAATTTCGTCAGCAAACAAACTTTCTCCTTCTTCGAATTCATCCTCAATCATTTGCTGACTTTCGGACAGCGGCAAATCAACCATCTCTACTGATGCTGTATTTATGAGAGATTCTGAATAATTTAGTCACAGTGATATATAGTTTTTGTTGAACCTTCTTTAGCCCATTGAAGCTCGGTTTTTTTAGTGGACACATCCAAACTCATCATTTCTACTCGACAATCATTTCCGACTATAATAATTTCATATTCATTGATACTTCTTCGCCCAAATGTTGCAAAGATAAGCTTCGGGGAATGTGATAAATCTTCAGTGGGAAAAGGCGAAACATAGTCCGTATCTGACGAGATCACGCGAACATCCGTTTGCGACACCAAGACGACTGATTCTTGGTTTTCCACCATTCCAAATGCAACTGGCATTGTTAATTGAACTGTCTTTACCACATGAGCATTTTTATCCAGAATCTCCAGTAAACTGAGTTCATTTGCTCCTTGAACAGCAATCAGCTTTTCCTAGCTGAGAATGCGTTCAATAACAAAGCCTACTTCAGCTTTGATAATTTTCGGATTGAAAATGTCCGCAATGATGATAATTTTCCGTCATAACACATAACGTACGAACGCTGATGCGAAAGATAAAATCCCCCCGCCAAATAACAAATCCAACAAGTATAGAACATAATTTATTAAACTAAATCCAGACTTACAATGAGCAAAAGACAAAACTTATTGCTTGTAGAGTTGGAATTTCTTGCCCTTCCAATGGCCGCGCGTCCAGAGCTCCAAATCGCTCAACGTATCTGCTCCCAGAATGTTGACTTCCTTGAAATGAGCTTTCGAGACTTGACATAGGATGTTGCTGCTCTGGTCCTAAACATTTGACTTATTCATCAAATTCTAACTAAAATACAAACAAACCTGGATCGCAATGTTGAATCGATCATCCTCGTGGATGTCCTTGTTAGCGCCCAGGATCGCCTTCATCGACTTCATTGTGAGACAAGTGAACGGAGAACCTGTGTCGAGCAGGAACCAGACATTGACGCTTGGCTTGTTCGGCTTTCCGGCCAACTGGCAGACCATCGGAACCATGAAGCGTGAGTTCCGAACCAAGATATGACCATTGACTGGAAAAGGTGGAGAAGTGAAAATGCCGGCACTCAAATTCGGAACTTCGTTAGTTCTTCCAATCTAAAATCAAGCAGAATAAGAATTAATAAATAAAGCAGAATAAATTACCAATTCGAGTTCATGTTCGTCAATATCATTGACCAAAACGTCGAACTCATCGTACCGCATGTCCAATTTTTGCCATTCATCCGACGAAGAGGACTAAAAACGAATTAAATTAATGAAGAAATTGTAAAAGTAAAGCGTTTACCTTGTTGTGCTGATCCGACATGACGTTGAGGAAGAAAAAAACAGATCAAACTAAAAATCAGTAAAGAATGAAGAAAATAAATGCTAGAAAAGCACGCAACTGAAAAAATATGCATAAGAAAACTGTTTTTCTCAACAAACAAGAAAAATAAAAGCCCTGGCATAATGTCTCATTCTTTGTGGGAGCTATTTCAAATATTATTTTTTTGCCAAGATTTGTTAGATTTGAAGGTTGATAATTTTGAACATTTATGAAGGAAAATAATGATAAAATGGTATAAAATGAGAGTTTTGAAATGTGGGACAGTAGCTGTCCTAGCTATTTTGGGGTTAAAAAGATACTTTTGACAATTTTTGTCTGATTTTGAAGGTAAAACAGTTAAAAAATGGTGTAAAATTAAATTGGGGAAAATGGGAAATGGGATGTCCCAGAGATAGCATATATATATACTACTCTTATAAAATTTCTCGCGAAAAAAGATTAGGATTTGCATGGCCGCGCGCGGTGGACTAGTTTTTGCATATGCATAAACGTTGAATACCGCATTCGAAGCACGGTCTCCAAAGTCAACTTCTCGCTTACTGCAGTTACGTCAGTTAACAATTTTTTTTTTTTGGAATAAACATTTCTAAATTGTTAACTGACGTAACTGCAGTAAGCGAGAAGTTGACTTTGGAGACCGTGCTTCGAATGCGGTTTGGATCCCACGTTCGTAATGTTCGCTGGCCTATTCTAACACTAGGGAGCACGGTTTTCTACTAGCAAAATTCATTAGCTAGCTTTTGGAATAAACATTTCTAAATTGTTAACTGACGTAACTGCAGTAAGCGAGAAGTTGACTTTGGAGACCGTGCTTCGAATGCGGTATTCAACGTTTATGCATATGCAAAAACTAGTCCACCGCGCGCGGCCATGCAAATCCTAATCTTTTTTCGCGAGAAATTTTATAAGAGTAGTATATATATATGCTATCTCTGGGACATCCCATTTCCCATTTTCCCCAATTTAATTTTACACCATTTTTTAACTGTTTTACCTTCAAAATCAGACAAAAATTGTCAAAAGTATCTTTTTAACCCCAAAATAGCTAGGACAGCTACTGTCCCACATTTCAAAAACTCTCATTTTTATACCATTTTTATCATTATTTTTCCTTCATAAATGTTCAAAATTATCAACCTTCAAATCTAACAAATCTTGGCAAAAAAATAATATTTGAAATAGCTCCCACAAAGAATGAGACATTATGCCAGGGCTTTTATTTTTCTTGTTTGTTGAGAAAAACAGTTTTCTTATGCATATTTTTTCAGTTGCGTGCTTTTCTAGCATTTATTTTCTTCATTCTTTACTGATTTTTAGTTTGATCTGTTTTTTTCTTCCTCAACGTCATGTCGGATCAGCACAACAAGGTAAACGCTTTACTTTTACAATTTCTTCATTAATTTAATTCGTTTTTAGTCCTCTTCGTCGGATGAATGGCAAAAATTGGACATGCGGTACGATGAGTTCGACGTTTTGGTCAATGATATTGACGAACATGAACTCGAATTGGTAATTTATTCTGCTTTATTTATTAATTCTTATTCTGCTTGATTTTAGATTGGAAGAACTAACGAAGTTCCGAATTTGAGTGCCGGCATTTTTCACTTCTCCACCTTTTTCCAGTCAATGGTCATATCTTGGTTCGGAACTCACGCTTCATGGTTCCGATGGTCTGCCAGTTGGCCGGAAAGCCGAACAAGCCAAGCGTCAATGTCTGGTTCCTGCTCGACACAGGTTCTCCGTTCACTTGTCTCACAATGAAGTCGATGAAGGCGATCCTGGGCGCTAACAAGGACATCCACGAGGATGATCGATTCAACATTGCGATCCAGGTTTGTTTGTATTTTAGTTAGAATTTGATGAATAAGTCAAATGTTTAGGACCAGAGCAGCAACATCCTATGTCAAGTCTCGAAAGCTCATTTCAAGGAAGTCAACATTCTGGGAGCAGATACGTTGAGCGATTTGGAGCTCTGGACGCGCGGCCATTGGAAGGACAAGAAATTCCAACTCTACAAGCAATAAGTTTTGTCTTTTGCTCATTGTAAGTCTGGATTTAGTTTAATAAATTATGTTCTATACTTGTTGGATTTGTTATTTGGCGGGGGGATTTTATCTTTCGCATCAGCGTTCGTACGTTATGTGTTATGACGGAAAATTATCATCATTGCGGACATTTTCAATCCGAAAATTATCAAAGCTGAAGTAGGCTTTGTTATTGAACGCATTCTCAGCTAGGAAAAGCTGATTGCTGTTCAAGGAGCAAATGAACTCAGTTTACTGGAGATTCTGGATAAAAATGCTCATGTGGTAAAGACAGTTCAATTAACAATGCCAGTTGCATTTGGAATGGTGGAAAACCAAGAATCAGTCGTCTTGGTGTCGCAAACGGATGTTCGCGTGATCTCGTCAGATACGGACTATGTTTCGCCTTTTCCCACTGAAGATTTATCACATTCCCCGAAGCTTATCTTTGCAACATTTGGGCGAAGTAGTATCAATGAATATGAAATTATTATAGTCGGAAATGATTGTCGAGTAGAAATGATAAGTTTGGATGTGTCCACTAAAAAAACCGAGCTTCAATGGGCTAAAGAAGGTTCAACAAAAACTATATATCACTGTGACTAAATTATTCAGAATCTCTCATAAATACAGCATCAGTAGAGATGGTTGATTTGCCGCTGTCCGAAAGTCAGCAAATGATTGAGGATGAATTCGAAGAAGGAGAAAGTTTGTTTGCTGACGAAATTGCTTAAAATAGTTCAATCTTTCAGAGAATATTATTTCTGCTTTCATGCGCCTCGCACTGCTGAAACCAGTTTTGCACTTCCAAACTTCAAAAAAATTCGTAGCAACTTTTTCCACTCGAAATGCATCGGCTGATTTTTTTAGGGTAGATGCGTAAAGGGTTCGAGAACAACATTTTTTTCAGAATTTTTTTCCTGGATACGTTGAATTTTTAAAAAAAGCAATAACTGCTTAAAAACATTTTATGCGCAGCTGCAAGCAGCGCATTTCAGCTGAGCTAACTGACACTTTTTCTCGAAATGTGATAGTAGTATATAAATGTCCGCTCTAGGACAGCTTTTTGCCCACTTTTTGAAAAGTTCAAAAACCCCTGTTTTTCTACCCTTTACAACCCTTGTTCCTCAAGATTTAGCCATATATTATCAATATTTAGCTTTTTTTCAATTTTTATGAGTAGACCACACGCAGTCCGAGCGCGAAACACCATTATTTTCATTAAAATTAATTACAATTATTTCGTTTTATTAAATGTTGAACAATAATTTGCAACCTCTTACAAACTTTGATATCATGAGAATAGCTAATAAGATAGAACTTAAGAATTTCAGAGGTGTGTTTATGCGGGATACTCTTCCAGAAATACCGGAAATAATAGAAAAATAATAATAATAATAATAACTCATTTATTCTCTTCAGCCACCTAGGAATAAAATTACAACAAAAAGAAAGAAGATAAAAAAAGAGGGGGAATGTGGGTGGGGGAAGGAACAATGGCTTGACATGACCATTGGCCGGCAGTAGCCAGAGGTCAGTTAGAATACAAAAAGCTAGGGGGGATCTTCTCGATGCGCGCTGCGAAGGCCTCAGAGGACAGTCTTTCGGGAAACAACTTGGCCACTCGGTTCCAAAGGGCAAGATGGGTATGTAAGAAAGAGTCATGGGGTAGGCCAAGGGAGGATAGAAGGTACGGGTGACGGGGGGAGACGCCGGGTTTGAGGAACATGCTTAGGGAGGGGAAATGGTACTTGTGCGAGATTATGTTGTGGAATGTTCTGAGAATAAGAAGAACCCTTCTGTGGAGTATCGATTTTGAATTAGATTGACTGAGACGGTCGCTATAGGAGGAGAACCGCATGTTACATCTTTGGAAGACTCTTCTACTGAAAAATCTAAGGGGAGACTCTAATTTGCTGGAGAGGGATGTCGATGAGGGATGGAAAAGTTCACAGCCGTACTCGAGAATGGGTCTGACGTAAACGTTGAAAAGTTTAAAGTAGAGACTGGGGTTCGAGGAGCGAAAGGCTTTCAGAATTTGTTTGCATTTCAAGAGGGCGGTATTGCTAACTATTGTGATATGCTTATCGAATTTGAGCTTGTCGTCTATCCAGATGCCGAGGTCCTTAACGGAATCTTTTGATTCGATTTCGAGCTTTTTGCCCACTTTTTGAAAAGTTCAAAAACCCCTGTTTTCTACCCTTTACAACCCTTGTTCCTCAAGATTTAGCCATATATTATCAATATTTAGCTTTTTCAATTTTATGAGTAGACCACACGCAGTCCGAGCGCGAAACACCATTATTTTCATTAAAATTAATTACAATTATTTCGTTTTATTAAATGTTGAACAATAATTTGCAACCTCTTACAAACTTTGATATCATGAGAATAGCTAATAAGATAGAACTTAAGAATTTCAGAGGTGTGTTTATGCGGGATACTCTTCCAGAAATACCGGAAATAATAGAAAAATATACGATATATATAGACAATATAGAATATAAACAATATAGAATATAAAGAATATAGAATATCAAACAATAAAAATCTAACCAATTTTACTTGGCTATTCTATAATGTTCAAATGCTAAAGTCTCTATATTATCAACAATATATCTTTTAGCTTCTTTGTCTGCACAAACATCATTATTCAAAACAACTTTACTTTGTTTAACAGAGTGAATATCATGCTTCTTAGAATTAATTAATGCTTGCTGTCTTCTTTGAAGTGTTCTTTTGAATAGACAGTTTTTATAATCTTTAAAAGTCATTTCCTTTTTAACAACATTTTTCTTAATACCTTTATTTTTCTTTTGTTCAGTTCCATCATCGACTTTCTCAGGCAAATCGTTTGTAATCTAGCTAGGAGATTTCGTAATCTACACCGAGTCGAGAGTATTTCTAACCGGACCTAATTAGATTGCACTATCACCTAATTAGATTTGCAAATCGGCTAATTAGATTAACAAGTTTCCTAACTAGATTCGGATATCTCCTAATTAGATTTGGCCATATTTTCAAAATTCTCGTTAAAAATCGACAAATTTATTGGAAAAACAACAACAAATAAGAGTTTAACAGAATAAAAAGTAAAAAATTAAAAAATTAGAAGAAAATTTCGACTTTGACGGTGAAAATGTGCTCGCGTCAGCCTCTCACTCCTCTACACTCCTCTCGCTCTCTTCAATTCTTTCTTGCTCGTCGAACGACTGTGGTTGCTGAAAGCAGAAAAAGTCCGTGTTATACGTGCTCCGGGAAACATACAAAATGTTTGCGAGATGCAGTTTGAAAAGAATCGCAATATTTTTCGCCGATCGTCTGTTCATCGGCGTTTTTTTCACCTTCAGAACTTTGGCGAGCAGGCCTGGAAACAATGAAGTATAACGGTCTCTGGTTTTGTAAAACTGACCGGCTGGAGCGTTCAGCATTTCCGCCGGAATTGTCTTGTTCGGTTCCTGCGGTTTCAGTGAGACTGACCACTTGGATCGTTCGTGGTCCTGCATAATCTGAACAATATGGAATTTGAAAACGTTGCATGGATTGCACACAAACCTCATTAATCCAATGGTTTCCAACGAGATGAACGACGTTACGCAGGGTTCCGCGTTGTACGGAAAGCTTCGCAAGAGTTTTCGTTAACATCAATTTCTCCTGCAATGAACCGTTGTTCTCGATATGCATGCGGAGAAAAAAATCTACCGGATTTGTCAAGAGTTTTTGACCACGATACGCTGAATAGAGAGAAATTTTTGTCGGATCGAGAGTGGTGATCAGTTCGGACGACGGCAGACTCGGTTTTTTTCGGAGTTTGCCGCTCTCGTTCAATCATCATCTGTAAGAAAAAGATTTAGCTGCATGCTTATCTAACAGAACATGCTATTTGCATCAATCCTCGCATTCCAAGAGCAATCGCTTTCACTTCCGAACTTCCTTTATCACACGCAGTTTCATTTCGTTATTAAAAAACTTTCAAAAAACTACAAACTTCTCTCGTCGTATTTCATCGTATCCTCCAAAAATCGCCTTATTTTTTTCCTTCCGTGTAGCAGTCTTCTTCGAATTCTGCTTGGAAATCTTCTTCTGAATCAGTGCCCGAATCGGAACGTTGGGACGAAGTGTCGGATGAACATGAGGAATCAATCGTAGAATTTATGTTTTCATGCGATGTTTCTGCACGAGATTCTGTCGGTTGACTCATGCACGTGCGGAGAACGGATCGAGTTGTTATTTTCACACGTGGCATGATTGCCGTCTGAAACAGACACATTTCTGCACAAAAATGTAAAAATCACAGTATAACAGCTCAAAGAAACGTTCGAAATCGACCGAAAACGGTGTGGTTTCCCACGTTCTGTTCAAATTCCCGTCAATCTAATTAGGTTGACTTTAGATTCGGATTTTTTCTAATTAGATTAGCAATTATGTCTGCTGGCGCGATCCGAGATCGCGCCTTCGTTTTTGCAGTCAAATCTAGCTAGGTTTAGTTTAGATTCCGTTTTCACCTAGCTAGATTCGGAACTCGGTTTAGATTACGAAATCTCCTAGCTAGATTACAAACGATTTGCCTGAGATTAAAAAAATGATGAGCGATCGAAATCAGGAGGTAAACAGAATCAACGCGAGAAGAATATACCCCTTGAATATAATATACCACGAAATGCTCCTCAAAACGTCGATGAGATGACAACAAAGGAATTAGCAGAATGCCAACATAGACGAAAAGAGGAAGTCAAGATTCGGAACATGGATGATAAAGTTTGTATCGATCGATATAATATATCCTACGTTTAGTTATTGTTTAGATCGCTGCAAAGATGATCCAGATTAAAAAAATGATGAGCGATCGAAATCAGGAGGTAAACAGAATCAACTCGAGAAGAAAGCTCTTTGATGATAATGTTGCAACCAACATTCAAATGAAAAACGATGGATTGGAGATAAATAGAAGAAAGCGTATGGAAGCCGCAAAAAAAGAGGAGGTTCTGGAAAATTTGAGATTGGGGAAACTCAACTTAACTGAATGAATAGTCTAGAGCCTAAATTTTAAAAATGTTTTTTCAGATGTTGATCAAGAAATAATAAAATATTTTAACATCTTCCTGAACTTTCCATTGTCTACGTCACTAGTCTTATCAACTGTCAGAAAACAATACTTGTCTTTCCAAACAGCTGAAGCCAACTCTAGAAACTTTTTCTTATTAATTTCACTACAATGATCTCGGTAAATGTAGTCTAGATTCAATTTGTCTTGAGCGAAGATTATGAAGAAATTAGCATTTTCTCTGATGGTATTCTTAGGTAGTTTGATGTAGTTTTGAGAGATGTAAAAACAGTCGATATTATTATGTCGACCTCTAGTGTAGTATTGTTCTATCTTGTTTTGTTTCTCTAGCATTAAATCATCAAAAATAATCAAAGTCTTTTTATTAGGATCAATAGAACTAGGGTCAGGAATGTCATCACAATTATCAGAGGTGCTTATAGTTATTTGAGGCTTGTCTTTTTTGTCAACTATAAAATTTTGTTTCTGAAAGCATTCACTAATTTCTTTCTTAGACAAACCATTTTCAAAACCACTGATAAGAACTTGATAGCAAGGTTGAAATAGTGTTGAAGAGAATATCAATAGATTGTCATAGTCCAAATACTCGTCGCCTTTAAATCCATCCAACAGTAAATTCATTAGTAAATTAGTTTTACCACACCCAGACTTTCCGATAATACAAGCTCTTATTGAACTGGGAAGTAGAGGATTGTTGTTTCTTTTTGTGTAATAGTTTTTAATAGAGTAATCACTAAAATCAGATGACATCCGCAGATTTAATATTAGAAACTTTTACAACTAATAAATGGTTCACTTATTTCTTGACATGCAATCTAATGAAAAGTCATTTCAGTTTGATTTCCCTCAAGATTTCAAACCTACTTCAATTGCAGTAGTCAGTGTTAGTGGAACTTTAGAATGTGATAAGAATAGTTTCACCTATGTTACATGTAGTTTAATTTGTGATAGCTTTATGAATGAGAGACAAAGTAATATACTTTGCAAATTTGCTAACAACGAGAAAAAAGTAAAGTACGAACCTTATAATTTGCTATACCATAAAATAGTAAATAAAAGTAATACTCTTGTTTTGAAATTAGTGAATGACGATTTTAAGGTATGTGATATACATATAGAGTTACTTATTAATTAGATCTTCTTAAACCCCGATCCACTTTTGAGGGCTTTTAGAAACTTGAGATTTTCTTTTGAAACTTTCATTACAGTTTTATCAGTGGTAGGCTGAGCAGCAGTAGGCTTATCAACTAACTCTACTTTTTCTTTCACTTTTGGACTAACAATTATATAGCTTGAATTTTTATCCTGTGTATTAAAGAATCTCATTTATTAAAGGAAAATTAATCAACAGTTAGAGATGTGACAGTTGGTCTTCTTACTAATTCTCTATGTTCTAGCCCCTCATATTCTTTATTTCTTTTCTTTTTATTTTTCTTATCAATAAACGTTTTAGGAGAGAGTATCAACCAGAAAGTTCTACCTATAAATATGTATACAAATGCTACTGCAATACTAACACCAACTCTCCAAATTCTAAGCCACCATTTACAAAAGAATCCTTCAACGTCATCCAATATCTCATGAGGCATTGTTGAATCCTGATTACTAGCATGTATATCGATTGCTACATCAGACTTTTCTCTCATTTCATCAATGAGTTCTTCTTCTATGTTAGTTTTCATATCTAAGAGTACATGCTCATGAAACACTACTTTGTCATCAAGGAACTTTAAATCAAATTCTTTAAAATCTTACATGTTTGTAATATTGGTTCTAGAATCAATCATAGGGTGAAGTTGTGGTTTGCTAGAGATAACTCCTTCTTTGTAATACCAAATTTTATCTCCTAAACTTTTTATCTTGTTTGGGATTTGTCCTAGTGTGAGCGCGAGACTTAACTTGTATCCATCAAAGTGAGTGAGGTCAATAAAATCAATTTCACTTTCATCAACTTCTTTACAGAATGTAACTTGTACAATGGGGTCTTCTACCATTTTTACTTTTATTGCTGTATGATTCAATTGTTTCTGGATGTATCTTCTAGGATTTTCTCTAATAAGACTTTCAAGAACTTCGTTTTGCTCATTGAAGATGTCGCACATAACTTCGGTTGTATGTCTTAGTAAATTGTTTGACTGGTTTTCTAGATATTGAAATTCTCCTGCTGCTTGATAGTCAGAGTACAGTTCTCTTTTCATTCTTGGTTTTCCTGTTTGAAAAAGTTCATAGTTAGCAACTCTTTCTATGAATTTTGTGTAACTAGGGAATGCGTCGCAACCTTCTCTGATTGTGTTGTATTCTTCATAACTTGGGAGGGTGTTACAATCTTCTTTTATACTCAAATATTCTTCGTAACCGGGTAATGGAAGTGGTTTCCAGTCTTCTTCAGTCGATGAATTCGTGTGTTGTTCCTTATCAAAGGTTGCTATTTTGTTTATAAAGTCTGTGTAGCTGGTCAATGAGTCACAACCTTCTCTACTATTTTTGAATGCTTCATAGTTTGGTAAGTTATCGCAGTCTTGTTTTATATTTAAATATTCATCATAGCTGGGTAAAGGTAATGGCTGAAAAATTTGTCTTTTCGTTCTGTTGGCCATCTTTCTTTCCATCTCTAAATATTTCAACTCCTCCTCCTTATGAGCTTGTAGTCTTTTTTCTAACTCTTTCTCTTCCTTTATACGATCCTGTTTTATTTTTTCTTGCTTTCTTATCTTCTCCTGCTCCTCTTCTCTTTTTAATTTTTCCTGCTTTCTCTTTTCAAATTCTTTATGTTGCTGTTGTTGCTGTTGTTGCTGTTGTTGCCATTGTTGTTGCCATTGTTGTTGTTGTTGTTGTTGTTGTTGTTGTTGTTGTTGTTGTTGTCTTCGTAAATCTTGTTGATGGGAGATTGTAATAGGTATTTGTTGTGGTGGTGCTAGCCGAAAGTTCATTCTTTTCACAGCAAATCCTTCTTCACTAATGATTAGATTATTGTTACAATCGTTTACTGTTTTGTTCTCTTGAAAACTTAGTGCTATCTGATTCTGATTGTTAATCCATAGGTTGTTATTGTAGATTCCATCTAAAACTCCAATAGATATATATTGACACTTTTGATCTTTGTTTACATCCCATGTGATGATTTCATTGTTCTTGATTTCACAAAAGCCATCTTGATACTTACAGTTATTCATGTCAGCTAGAACATTAGTCGGTTTGGATTGATTGAAATGGGAGTAGACTTTGGTTTCAATTATAACACAGTTTTCTTTACTATATCTTTTCGGATAAAACAGACTAGCAAATCTATTCGGATAGTCAACATCAATTTTATTATTAGTGCTCCATGTCTTTGATTTACCTTTTGTTAAAGTTCCGTAAGCGCATTTTTTCTTTGAAATCATTTCTCTACACTCTGATAACGTTATCGCATGATTGTTTATTTCTTTTTCCACCTCATGTTCATACCCCGAAAAGTCAGTATACATTGATACTTCACTAACTAGCTTTTTACAGAGTTTAGCTTCTGAAATATACTCGATAATGTTTGGTTTAAAAACTTCATACTGTATAGTCTGTGAACGACTGTTGAGTATCCTGTGATAATTGCATCTATGTAGTTTGGGAATTCGAAAATATTGTGTTGGAGAGTTTTCAGTACAAATAATAGGCTTACTAGAAGCTTCATAGGACTGAACTAAAATGAAAGTCGCTGCTAGAGTTCTAAATAATATTCGCATTTATTACTTATAAATAATTATAAGCAAAAATTTCCTTTATAAATTGATAAAATGTTAGAGGCTGTTGATAAAATACTTGTGGTTGATAGCCCAATAGTGAGCGATACATCAATTCAAAAAGAAAACCTTATCAGTATTTTTCCTTCATCAGGCTCCAGTTTGAATCAACATGGAGAAATAAATTTTGTAATCGAGACATGTGATCAATACTTACACCTACATAAATCTTACATTTACATGGAAGTACAACTTTCTAAAACAGAGGGGGAAGACTTGGCAGAAACAGATCTAATATCTTTAACAAATAATGCTCCAATGTTTTTATTCGATAGAGCAACGTATAGCATGGATGGAATGCAGGTGGAAAGTATTATGGATCCTGGAAGAGCTAGTCTTATGAAGGGGCTTTTAACTTACAGCAGTACGATGAACAAACAAAATACATTTGGCTGGATTTTAGAAACAAAAGATATTCTAACTTACAAGATTAATAAATACACAAAGAATAGAAAAGGCAGTATCACTTTCTGTATTCCTCTCACTCACATTTTTGGATTTGCCGAATGTTATAATAAAATAGTATATGGGAGAAAACATAATCTATCACTTTATAGATCACCAGAGAATAAAAATAGTATTACAACTTCAGACCCCCTACAGATTACAGCGAAATTGGTGATAAAAAAGCTGCAGTGGGTTATTCCTAAAATTATACCAAGTCTAGAGATGCAAAACAAATTATTAAACATTTTTGAAAGTAGTAAACTCATACAGATGCCGTTTATATCCAGACAGTTTGAAAACTATACTATTCCTAATGGGAACAGAGAATTTACTTGGAAGCTGGGTACAAAATATGATAAAATAAAATACATTGTTGTTGCTTTTCAATGTGATAGAGAGAATAATTATTTAAATGCTGGAAAATTTGACAACTGTGGGTTAGAAGAAATCTATGTTGAATTAAATTCAGAGAGATATCCTCATGATTGTTTAAAGTTTGATTTCGATAAATTTAACGCCGTTCAACAATACAATTTTGCAAAAGAGTTTAGAAATAGTTATTATGAATCAACAAAGGATTACATTTTTATGGAAGAAGATGTATACTATTACTACTACCCATTATTAGTATTTGATGTGTCTAAACAAAATGATAGAATTATTCAAAGTAGACCAGATGTTACAATAAAAGCTTCGTTTTCGAAAGTCACCGTACAAAACACAAAATGTTACTGTTTGA